GCAACAGTTCAAAAACTGAGAGTTTGTAGCACACATATAACATCAAACTTATATTATAATAAAAGGTACAATATTTACTGAGAAAAACGCTAGAAACGAGTAATTTTATCACACAGGTTTCCAATTTCACTTATTTATTCCTCATCCAAGCGTCGGCCAAGACGCAATTTTATAAAGGTTATTTACTACGAACAGGTGAATCCAGATTCCACTTATATTCGAGTGCTGCGATATTTTATCCAATCTGGAGATGAGAGGATTTGGTTGACATATTTAATTTTGTTTTGTGTCACTATAATATTATGACCATAATTATAGCTAATCCAACTATTTTTTTTTTTCATGAAAGAATGCAAAGTATGATAACTAAAAACAATAACGTGGATATTGTGACGTGGACCATCGTCGGAGGGCGTTATCAATCTTCGGGTTTCCACTAACCGTACATCTGGCCTTTTGTATTTATGTGTTTCATTTCAAGAAAAACCCGTATGCAACCGAATCATCAATCACCGGATTACCATTTATATTGAACGGATCCTAAACATGGTGCATTGCGTCCACGACAGCCAAGTTCAACGGCGTTTGTCTTCGGCCGAGGACGGCGTTGGACGTTTCTGCACAATAAATTATAGTTTACACTGTATTTGACCTTCGGCGTTGGACGTGATCTAAATGCAGTCTGGACGATCGACGAGAACCCATATACCAGCACATATATCCATTATGCCATTCCAGCGGCTCGCTGTACTGGGAAAACCCAGCCGTTGGCCCATAAAATTGTATTATTAATCGGACGGGCCCGAGGCTCTAGACAAATAAATTGCAAAATCGTCGACGGAGAAGAAGCGCCTGTTCCGGAAAAGATAAGAAAAAGTAATTGCGAGCGCGTTCGTCATCGGATTATGTTGTGTTTAATTTTTTGAAAAATTGCATACGCGAAATCCATACGATGCACCGACGAAAAAAAAAACAACAAGGCAGCTAAAAACATTCCGAATATCAGCTAGCTATTCCCTAAATAAATATTGCGAGGCGTGTAATGTATAGTAAAAACTATTAAACGTTAATGTACATTTTTTCAAAATTATTTTTATTAAGGTGAAACTTCCACAAAAGCACAAGTAGTATAATTAACGTAAAATATAAATCATTATGTAGATAATCTCTTAACTATTTTTCTTAAAATTATAGCGTATCGTAAAGTACTTCCGATGAAAGATTTCAGATCTATAGACTTGCTACATGATTGCGAGATCACTTTTTATCTAGAAAATATAATTTTAATTACCAACTAATCCTCTGTACTCGCCAGTGTGACCGACACATCCACTGTGGTTGGTGATTTATTGTTTTGTTGAGTTCTCTTATGAAAATACCGACCAATAAGTTTACACTAGACCGACTAAGACGCCTCCTTCGGCAGTTTATTTTCGCATTATAACCATGAACTTTCACGCGTGAACTTCCCAGTGTATTGGTAAGTTATGTATTGCCAAGTTCCAACCTGGTCAAGGCGAAACCAGTAGACTAAATTTAATGCCGTACGACCGTTGTAATAACAGAGTAGAACAGTAATATATTTTTTAATCTATGCCAGTTTACATTAAAAAATTGTGCATACACGAATAATAACAACAACGGAAATAATTGTAATCATTTATTCAACGGTTTAGACAGTAACAAGTTGATTTGTGGAACCTAAGAATGCCTTGTCCGTAAGTTTTATACCAATATTGGGTTATGTAAACCGCTGCTCGTTTAATTTGGTTATTTTATCATAAACTACTATAATTGCATCGTGAAGTAATGCTGCTCTTATATCTTTCCTTGGCGTTCCACGTCAATATGTTTCTTGTGTAATACTATATTCACGTTGTGACAATCCGCCTATTGTGTTGACTAAGTTTTATTTAGTCAGCCGGTCCCTACACCGATTTTGCTTGAACCGTTTTGGGAGATTGCCAAAGAATAATATACACATTGTGAAGATATTTCCTGAGTACAAGAATTAAGGATTGTGATTAAGGAAACGTGCGTGAAAACTTTTTAAACGGTGTTTTGGCAACTGTTCGTACTATAGAGGAACCGACAAGTTTTCGTGTATGGAGTTATTGGACACATAGCAGTATATAATTTTGTTAATTTCCACACAGCAATAAAACATTTTAAAATATTGTAATACAAAATGATAATACTTAAAAATAATTGTTACAATATTTTTACAAATTCGATTTTTGGTCAAAAATAAAATACTAATAACAAATAAATATTTTAATATTATTTCCTAAATATCTCAAATGTAATTAATGTTTTCATTTTAAAACAATAAACAAATAATAATAAACTCATACGATATTTTCTATAGAAATATTAAATATTTAATCCTGGGGGAAATGGATCACTTTAAAAAAACAAAAGTTTACTTTTAAAACAGCGTCCGTTTGAAAAAAATTCCAATAAAATAATAATAAAAAAAAACGCTTTGTGTATAATAAGCCACCTTGCACAGCGACATTTTTTGACAACTTAAATATCAGAGCAAGTACTTCAGACATTTTTGTGATCAACCCTACAACAAGTAATAAATTCAATTATTAAATCAGATTAAAAAAATTATACAATTCTTATATTCAATATTAGTAAATTGAAAACTTAAGCCACGTGCTATTTTGAAATTGTATTGGACCGTTTGATACTTAATATCCGTAGATTCGCATTAAATATTTTAAGTTTAAACATATTTGTATTATGCTGAATTTTTTAAATTCCATCAAATTAAGTTAGTAAAGAGTTTTATTATTATTATTATTATTAACTATACATTACAACATAACCTCACGCTTAGCAAATTCAAGTGTTTACCTGTTTAGTGGGTGTCATTGCTCCAGATTAACATAATATATTATTATACATATGTATAATAATATATTATGTTAATCTGGTGGTTAATCTAATATTAGTAGGATATGTAGGATATTTCAAGAGTGTTACCATAGTCATACAAAGCAACTTGAATGCGTTTATTGACCGTTATGTACAGAACAATGATTTGTCTTTAGACAAAAATATCATAAAAATGGACAATACAAATCCTGCATTTAAACACGGATATAGTTACGCTGAACACTACGCTACATCGAATCTAATGTTGTTGTGTTTGTTCTAATCAAATTAGACAACTAGAAAAATCAAACATCAAATTGCCGACATTGCCGAGTTGTATTTAACGATGTACTGAAATCATACATGGGAACGGCAACCAACGGAGGAAAATAAGAAGTATCATGCGTTGATGTTAGATTGCATTCATTTTAAATGTTATACCTTATACACATATATTTTTATTCGATGGTGTCTTGAGAATGTGATTTGAGATATCATTCAATCGAAAATTGAAATTGTCAAGCAAAATATTTAAACTATTGCCGAGGAATTTGCTATGTGTCATAATTTTTCATGTAATTTTAAACAATTCAACAATACTTTATGAAACTAGAACGCCGCGCCAGAGAATTTACTTCTTGCTGATATAGGCGAGGAAGAGGATTCGTTTTCAACTTGAAAACCAGTTCACATTTGTAAATAACGTTACCAGGCGTCTAAGTCACCAAACAAAAACAGTTTGTTTGATAAATTGACCAAGAATTCATCAAATTGTCAAACTGTATAGTAACATTAGACAAGATCAAAAGTAACTTTCGGCGATAATGACGATAAACTGCTTTTAAAAGACTGCAATGAAGACCGAAGATGTCTGGACATAGATACGTACCACTTGAAATTGCAAAGAATCCAGTATGTCAATGGACTATTCGTCATAAATATACTGAACAAATTGAGAGAAAAAAAATAATAGTTCACTCTAAATGTACATACTTAGCTATAAGTCCGGCTATCGTAGACTCCTTAATTCTCTTCAAAAACCAATTGAAAAAAACACATATTACATGACCCACATGTTGTCGATGTCAACCCAAACATGTGAGCTGTCGAAACACTTGTAACCAAGCTAGTCTCCGAGTACAAACCGATGTTTTTAAATCACCAATGGGAACTAAGCCCAATGCATGGCTATAAGTACCATTCATTGATCGTAAATTTTATTAACTTAAGACTGTTATACCATATAAGTGTTCACATACGTATATATCAGGCCGTAAAGTCTCAACTGCCCATCGATGGCATATAACAGGCCACTGATAAACAAGCATGTGCTGTTTAAAATTTGGTCTGTGCTGATAGTTGCTCTAAAAAACCTTAAGAGCGTTTAGGTTTAAACAAAAAATGTATTAGGTTGTTAGGTATAGGCTGGGATTATAGGAAATACGAAAAAAAATTTTTACTGTAGATATTATACTATAGACTCGCCTTAAATGGACTAGTATATAGTATTGATTTAAAAATGCATTATCTATATCCAGAACATTTGCTATTGTTCCATTTTTTTGTTATTTTATGAATTTATAGACAAAAAACATGTAAACATGTACATATTCTGTTTTCTAATATTATTATAGCGATATGACTTTATTGTACGAATTGTAAATAACAAAAACCCAACTAAAATGTGTAAATTACTTTACCTTACAAACAACTTCAGACATAAGAAATATATTCTAAGTATTATCAAAAGCGTGCTACAACCATACTTTACAATATTTACACATATTTTTGTTTGTTATTGTCAAATTGCGGTTTTTTATTTAACGAAATACATATGTATGACCTTATTTTTATGGACTTATATTTAGTGGATTTATATTCAAGTGTATTCGTAAACAGAATTTTCTAAAATTTGGTATTAAAACTAAATCTAAACTACATTTTATTGTTTTCATATACATAGGTTGTGATTCAAATTTAATCACTTTCTGTTCGTCATCAAGCAAAAAGATGCAATTATTAATTTTTACTAAATTTTGAAATTTTATAGCATACAATTTACTTGTTGAGACTAATTGTATTTATAAAGTTAAGAACCCTGTACATTTCATACTTGCTACTAAACACGGAACAATGAGTTGGAAAATTATAATTTTATTAGCTAGTTTAAACGTTTTAGTAACATCGTTACCAAATGATCCAATTCAAGATCAAGTAAGTTACTACATGTAATATTTATCCAATCGGTTATTGAAAAAACGCAGGAGAAATTACTCACGCGGTTCAAACATAATGTTTTAGTTCATTAATTTTAGTGCTAAACATTTATTTTAAAAATATAACTTTTTGTTATTATTTTCGTGAGTTCAATCAAATTTTCAACGACCTTTTTTTTAATATATCAGTTTTTTATTATACTTTGACGGATTATTAACACGTTTTAAACAAATACTTCTAGAACTATGTATAAAAGTATTTTTAATGAGGTTGTGAGATAGAGGGAAATATTTCTTTTATTACTATTAACTCTTCCTTGGGACAAATCCTGGTTGCACCACTATAATATGTGAAAACCCCTTAATAGTTATAATTAAAAAAAATGTAATATCATCACGTGTTTTGTTTGCTTATGTTAAAATTACAAATGTAAATAGGGAGACAAATTGTATGACGGGAAATTCGTTAGCCTGTTAAACTCTATGAAAACTTTAGACGAGAAAAAATTCGATTTCAACAAAATCGATGTTCAACAGCTTTCGGAAGAATGCGGCGCGGACGAGAACTGTTTGGGCAGTAAAAAGGCGTCCTTAGAACAGTACCACCAGAAAATGCAGGGGATACAGTGTGTTAATGGATTAATTGTTATGGAAATTTGGGAAAAAATGGATAAGGATATAAGTAATTTTGTTGAAAAGAAACCCTTCGCTTTTGTTGGGACTACAGCTAAGGATAAACTACAAAAAAAAGCTAAACAATACATTCCTTTCATGAGAAACATGTTGTCGGTACTACAGACAGCGGAAGTGGCCCCTTGCAGTTGGCAAATCGAAATGTTTACATTTCTAGCCGGCCTCGATTTTTCAGACTTGGATTTCGATAAATACGTAAACAATTTTCCTTCTGTGCTTTTAGGAATGAACATAAAAAAATATATTGACCAGTGTACACTGCGAAATTATTTAAAAGAAAATCCCGACAAAAAAAATGATTACATTTCTCGATATGTTAACGACATCAATGCATATACAAAACATCTGTATGAAAACCCTTCCTTCGACTATGCTTACCGTAGCTCCGAAAACTACACCATACGGAATCTAATGTTGGTGCATTTCTATGACCGCCATGCGTTTATATATGATTGGTCCACGTTGGCAATCAAACCAAACATGAGAGTTGTCGAAACACGTGTGAACAAGCTAATCGACAAGTACAACCCGATGTTTTCAAATCGCCTATGGGCAACAGAACCAATATATAGTAATAAGTTCCATTCGTTGATCGTAAATTGCATTCACTTAAGACTGTTATACCATGTATATGTTCACATACATATATATCACACTATACAGTCTCAATTGCTGCTTAACATTGATATATCACAAAATATTAAAAAAGGCCAACTTCTCAAAAGTTGGTCTTTTCTCGTAGGTCCTCTTAAAAAAGCTTTAAGGGAACTTATGATTGAAGACAATATGTATTGGTCTCTGGTACGCTTTATGATGGATAGTACAAATAGTATGATTATAAATAAACTCACAATTTGGGAGCATATCATGAGAAAACAATTTTCAATTCGTTTAGAAGAGATAACATTTGTGAGAAAAGCTGAAGCCGATGGTGTATTGACGAAACTAACCGTTTCAGAAGACTGTGATAAAAACCTTGACACTATCAAGGCTAATGCCGTTATGCTAGACGAATATACTAATCAGATAATTGAGGTTTCAAAGCCAGTCGACGGTGTTTTTGTTCAATTGTTAGTGCTTGCCGAAAAAAACCCATTCCATTCGCGTTAATCTTATGAATTTTGTAATTTATATTATTTTTTTATAAATAAATAATTGTCTTTGATGTATATTTCACCTAATATTTGTAGTTTTTTGTGTGTGATAGCAATTTAAAATAAAACAATTTTTTTTGGTTTTATTCAATCATTATTATTTGTTTTAACAGAGACATTTAAATACCTTAAATAGTATTAACGTCCACTCCACAATCCTTCCTCTCCCCATTTTTTTTATTATTTATGTACAAAATAATTAACTCCACGTCATAATGCCATCAAAAATGTTTTTAAAAAATTAATAATAAATAGATTTTTAAAACATTAACAACATAAAAAGCCAACCAGTCTAGAGCATAGGCATAATAATGAAATAGTAAAAACTTAACAAATAATACATGCAATACAGTCTTTGACTTTTGCTCTTTGAAGTTTGAATCATAGATGTCGAGTAGGATTACAAAATTAAAAATAAACAATAAAGCAAATAAATATTATAACATCAAATCATAACAATTTAAATGCATTACAAAAAAAATTCCAATTTTCGTAATGTACGTCAGTTAATGACAGTTTATTATTAATAGTTTATTAATCCTATATTCATCCATTATACAGCCTAGTCTTCAGTCTTGAGATACCGTTGAGTGAACAAACTGCGTTTTGCAGAAGCATTGCCTGCTGCTGAAAAAGGTATGATAGTACTGATATGCACGAACATTATATTTCTTCACTGCATCTAGTACAATTTCTGCGTTGGGAAATTGACATGTATTATTTGACCTGACCAAAACGCATATAATTGTTCAATTTCTTCTTTTAACTAATACGACAGATTTTTTTGAAACATCACCAAATTTAACTGTACCTATATCATTCAGTACGCATTAGACATAAAATATAATTTGGTTAAACAATAGGCAAAAAACATCAAGATCAACCTAACTTTCACCACATACTATTATTCCATTTGAAAAATCAATATAACTAAAATACTCATTCTACTATGTGAAGAATATGTATGTACTATATGTAACACTATACATTCGCCTTAAATCGTTTGACTAGTATACAGTATTGATTTTAAATTGTATTACCTACATCCAGTACATATTCCATTGCTCGATATTTGTTATTTTATGAGCTTTTTAGACAATAAACAGGTAAATATTTTTAATTTTCGGTATTTGCCAACATCTACACACATATGTTGTTTACTAAAATTATTATATCGATATGGCATTATTGTATGAATTGTAAATAACGAAACATTAACAAAACACAACAAAAAGTTGAAACTTACCTATTTTACCGCACAAAAAATTTCAAACATAAGAAATATATTCTAAATATTATCAAAAGCGTACTAAAACCATACCTTACAATATTTACACACATTTTTTGTTGTTGTCGAATTGCGGTATTTTATTTAACGAAACCCACTTATAAAATTTAATTTTTACGAGGCTTAATAGTGAATTTTAATTCAAGCGTATTCGTCAATAGAATGATCTAAAATGTGGTACCTATTTAAAACATAATTTAAGCTACATTTTATTGTTTATTTTTGCGTAGGTTGTGTTAAAATTTTAATCATTTTCTGTAGTTCGTCAAGCTATTAAGGTTGTAATATATAATCATTTTTACTAAATTTTGAAATTTTATATCATAAAATTTATTTGTTGAGACTAATTGTATTTATAAAGTTAAAAACCCTGTACATTTCATACTTGCTACTAGACACGGAACAATGAATTGGAAAATAATAATTTCGTTAGCTAGTTTAAACGTTTTAGTAACATCGTTACCAAATGATCCAATTCAAGATCAGGTAAATTGCTGTGACTAATTTATAAGTTTTTTTACTATATTTAGATGGATCAATAACACGTTTTGAATAAATACTTCTAGAATTATGTTTAAAAGGATTTTAATGAGTTTGTGAGGTAGAGGGAAATATTTCTTTTATAAGTTAATATTGTATCCCATAAATAATTCTTAGTAACGAACAAAATAAATCTATATTTTTATTTTATATTTGTCGATTTCAAATTTTTCATTTCAATAAGATTTTTATTGAATATTTTATCATTTGAAATTCGTAGTACAGAGTTACTGGTCACACTAAATAATATTATACTCTGCTATTGCAATGATAAGCATACCGTATCTATGTATCAAGATGTGAGTTGTGCTGTAAAATAATTCCTCATATTTAGACTCTCCCTCAGGACGAATCCTGGTTGCGCCACTGTTAAATGTATTAAAACCCTTGATATTTATAATAAAACGAATGTTTCGTTTCGTTCTGTTAAAATTACAAATGTAAATAGGTAGAAGAACTGTACGACGGAGAATTCGTTAGCCTGTTAAACTCTATGAAAACTTTAGACAAGACCAACGTCGATATCACCAACCACGATGTTCAACAGCTTTCGGAAGACTGCAGCGCGGACGAGAAATGTCTGGTCATTAAAAAGGTGTCCTTAACAAAGTACCACCAGAAAATGCAAGAGATACAGTGTGTTAATGGATTAATTGTTAGGGAAATTTGGGACAAAATGGATAAGAAGTTATATAGTTATTTGAGAAACAAAAACATGTTCGGGGGTTGTCCTTTAACTAAAAAAACTCTACGAAATATGACTAACAAATACATGCATTATATGAGCAGAATGTTGTCGATGTTGCAAACCGCGAAAGTGGCCCCTTACCCTTGGCAAGTCGAAATGTTTACATATCTAGTGGGCCTCGATTCTCAAGACACGGGTTTCAAAGAATACGCGTTAAATTTTCGTTTATCTATTGAAAAAAACGTAAACAGATTTCTAGACCAGTGTGGACAGAACAATTATTTAAAAGAAAAATATCCAATTTCCCGAAATGTTAACGACATCAATGCTTATATAAAACATTTGTATGAAAACCCTTCCTTCGAATATGCTTACCGTGTTTCTAATCATTACACTGCATCTAATCTAATGTTGGTGAATTTTTATAACCGTCATACGTTTATATACGATTGGTCCACATTGGCAATCAGTCTAAACATGACCGCTGTCAGAACACGTTTGACCGATCTAGTCGCCACGTACAACCCGTTGATTATAAATCACGAATGGGCACTTAAACCAACGAAGAGTTATATGTACCATTCATTGATCGTAAATTGCATTCAGTTAAGACTGTTGTACCATGTATATGTTCACATACATATATATCAAACTATACATTCTCAACTGTTTAACATTGCTGTAACACCAAAAGTGAAAAAAGACCAACTGCTCAAAAGTTGGTCTATTCTCGTAGATCCTCTTAAAAAGGCCCTAAGGGCATTTAGGATTCAATGCAATATGTTTTGGTGTCTGGTACGCTGTATGATGGATAATACAAATGGTATGATTATAGACAAACTCACAATCTGGGAGCGTATCATGAGAAAAAAAATGTCAATTCGTTTAGCAGAGGTAACACTCATGAGCGAAAAGGAGGCCGATGAAAAATTAAAGATACTACCCGTTTCAGAAGACTTTGACACAAACCTTGACAGCATTAAGGCTAATGCCGTTATGCTAGACAAATATACTAATCAGATACTTGAGGTTTTAAAGCCAGCCGACGGCGTATTTATTCAACTATTCATGCTTGCCGATAAAAACACATTTCATTCGCGTTAATCTTATGCATTTTGTATTTCATATTATTTTTTTGAAAATTTGTTATAAATAAATAGTTATCTATTTATTTAGATATCTATTTCACTTAATATTTGTGGTTTTATTGAAATAACATATGTTTTTTTGTGTGTGATAGCAATTTAAAATAAAACAAATTTTTTTGGTTTCATTCAATCATTATTATTTGTTTTAACAGAAACATTTTAATACCTTAAATATTATTTAGGTTCACTCCACAATCCTCCCTCCCCCCATTTTTTTAATTATTTATGTACAAAATAATTAACTCCACTTCATAATGCCATAAAAAATGTTTTTAAAAATGTAATAATAAATAGATTTTTAAAACATTAACAACATAGGCTATATTACATGATAACTAAATAATATAATCTTAACAAATAATACACGGAGTATACTTTTTGAACTTTGCTCTTTGGTGAATCATAGATGTCGAGTTGGACCAATAGGGGAGTAGTATTACTGCTTCTGGAACACAAAACTTTGTACCTGAATGTATTTTTAATTGTATAGATCCAAGTAATTTTTATAATTAGGAAAAAGGTCTATTATAAAAGGCGGAATGTTTGCTCAGCTTACGTAACTTTGTAGTATTATAAAATAACGTAAAGAAAAATATTTTCAAAACGAAAAACTACGATAATGCAATTATTTTAGGAGAACTACAAGAATGTCTTATGTTGAATTAATCGAATTCAAACCCAGCCTAAATCTGTATACAAAACATTTTCTTGTATTCAATTATCAAAATTGGCTTTTAGAGGGCTTTTAAATTAAAAGTAATATTTTTAAAGGTATAGCATAAAATATTGTGTAAAACCTAAATCGAACACTTAGTGTGGTTAAAAAAACGGTTATTATCATTGCAGCAGTGTACTAAAAACAAATAACGAGACGAAAAAACACGATTATAAATCATTGTAAAATGTGTGCCGTAGGGCATACCGTTGGACTGTGTAACTTGTAAGTAAGCAAAATTGGAAAAAACAACGTGTGTCAATGTTTTATAGTAAATATGTAAAACCGGATAAAGCGTTCTGCCAGATTTTTGGTCCGTGTAATGTGACCTTAGCTAGATAGCGGCAACGCAAAAAGTTATTAAATAGATATTGAGTTTTTATACAAGACGGAAATCTAGAAGCTCATACACGGTTTAGATATCGTTATTTGGTGAATAATACGCTAGTCCTGTCTCAGCTCAGAAGAACAAACATAATATAACGAAATAACAAAACTAGAATTACTTGCTATCATTATTAACTGATGCCCACCACAGGCGGATCTTGATTACGACTTATACTACTAATAGCAGAAATGTTTCAATTATATTTCATAAAATATACTACTTACATAAAATAGTTTGTGATATTTTATCAAAACATCTAACATATATAAATATAACGCTTTGATGTGTTTTCAATAAAAAAATTAAGAAATGAACAATATCCTTATAATGTGTATAATGCACATTGTTTAATGTTGTTAAGCGTTGATATAGCTTAGTAAAGTTATGACAACATTTTCATTTCTAAGACACTTCGAGAACATTTTTCTATTAAAATATGAACCTCACGTAATATTTTTTAATTAATATTAAAAATGGAAAAATTTTGTTTTTTTTTATTTAGCTATAGCCTATAAATTACCATTTTCATAAAATATTAATAAGTATAGTTAAATAACCAGCTGAATTACTTAACAAATATAATCACGTACCATGATAAAACAACAATTTTACTCTATTTATTTCATATTGTCTGTAAATTGTCTGTGTTATCATATATACTAATTTTGATATAGATTGTATACTTCAAATAAAAGAAAAAAATAGATAATATATTTTTTCGTTTTATAAATTGTACATAGCTGTTCAATTCAATCAAGTATAAATTTAAATTCTCTAATAAAAGTTGGTAAAATACTGTAGCAGAACGTACAAATTGTATCTAAGCCCGTATGCACAGATGCACTGTACAAAACAAAACCAAACGATAGAGTTCTAAACAAAATTTATACCGATCGTCTTTTTAGAATTTGAATAATATGTTTATATTATATTTGCTTTACGTGATTTTGTATTATATTTTACATACTAGTGTCCTCTTACGAACAGACAACCGTTTTATTTGATACCCAGAATTATTGTTTTTAAATCACCGTTTTCATAAGTAAAATTAAAGAATAAAAAAATTAAAAATGTAATTATTTAGTTATTATTACAACAAAGTGTAGGTAAAATATGATTTCATGTAAATTGTATTTAATATATTAAAAATACTAGAGCTATTTGGTCCATGAAAATCGCTCAAGCCGTTTTCGTTCTAGCTGAAGACATACATATTGACTATAGTGCAAACACATTAACAAAACTCTCATTTGCAACCGTATTGTGAAGTAGCCCAAACGAACAAGTCTCCAATTCGGTGAACTTAATGCAATTAGCGCCTAGCGGTTACTCTACAATAGTGTTTCATTAAAAAACAATAATAAATAAACGGAAAAGTTAACGGTTAAATTAAATGATAATTTATTTTGCACAAAAGTTTTTACCTATGTCGAATGCAATTTGATATACCTTCCAAAGTATTCTACTTGAGTCTATTGTCGAATGATAATACACCGATAAGTAAATTTCAGATTATACATGCACCAGTTTATAACATTTTTCGAATGAGTTATGGCTATGTTAGTGCCTAGTGGTAACAAATGACTTAACGAGAAAAATCAATGGCACCTTGTAAAGTAATCGGATTTTGATTTTTTTTTTTTTTGTAAACAAACGTGATTTTTATAAAGGGTTCTATAAATAGGTACCAGTTTCAAATCTCGTGGCTCGTTTATAAACCAACATCTTAAGAGGTCGTTAAACCTTGGTTTTATTATATAGTATATTAGTGACCATCTGATTCATAAATACAAACATAACTTAACCATTTGTTATAACTAACAAAGTAAAATGTAATAAACTAAAATAAAAGTAGCCAGTAGATGCAAAGTTTCTAAAAAATCACATTCAAAAGAACACATCGATGCGAATCTGTAGATACTGGAACTTGGTAATTTCATACTGTGCTGGCTTACACAGTACTGGCTTAGACTGTACTTGTTTTTTTTTTTAATATTCCTAGTTTATCTTCGAGAGTAAATGTTCATTATAATATTAATTTACTACCGACCTTTTCTATACAATAGTTTGGTACTATTTTGAATCTGACATTTTTTTATGAGCAGCTCATAAAGAATATATGTGAGACGGTCGGTAGGACTTTTTCTCTTAGTTTACCTAAGAAAACTGTGGATAGTACAAACCTTTCATGAGCTGAAGAGAGTCTTGTAATGCACGTAGAACATTCCAAGTTGTACACAATAATAATACACCCCAAGAACTTCCCAGAGATCCAAAAATCTCAAATTCTAATATTTGTTGATTAGGATATTTCTTATTAGCACGACAGAGCGCTTGTTAGTTTTTTTTATAGTAGCTGGAAAAAATTGAATTTTTCTGTTTGGGCGTCAGGGCAACTTCTTGATTTTTGTCATAAACTACTGATGTGTTCGTACTACAACTTTCAGTGTCTTTTGCAGTTATTTCCTACAACAAATTGTCTTATATTATCCTTTCGTTCAATTGTTAACTAGTTTATATTTACTTTTCCATTATTTTTCTTTGTTACTTTATTGTTTTTCATTCATTGCTACTAGATGACTGAACAGCTATTGATCGTCGTGTCGGGTCTGACTGTTGATGAATCATTGGAAGCCAATAAAATGATAATTGAAAACGAATCCATTGTGGACTGTGGTAATAGGGGCTTCCTAAATGGTAGCTGCGGCATTGACGATAGCCACTAAAATTTTAATATTCTATGACTACTACTACAGACAAAAAATAGCAGTGTTAATAACTGGGTGCTATGGTAGTCAAATAAAAAAAAAGAATAACTACCCATAAAGATTTCTCAAAATAAAAAAAGTACACTAAAGTTGTAATTTTTAATTAAGATTTTTATAAAAATTACCTTTGCCGAACCATTCACGTCCACACTTTGGTAGCGTACTAATTAGGAAGTACAATATTTATAAATAAGTTGAAATATGTATACACTTTATTGACCTATATTAAACACACATTTAATACATATGCCAATTAAGATGATTTCTCGTCGCTGAATGTTGTTTTAAAAAGATTTTGACAAAAAATACCTTTGCTAAAATCTTTTATAAACGGAAATTTTAGCGGATGTCCTTTTAAATTAAATCAAATTGTAGATATTGAATTTAAGTGAATTGAAATCGGTCTGTTTATTAACAGTGTAATAAACGCATAGTAAAATATTAGTTTTACATTGTTATAAACAATAAAAATCAGACAGTAAACAAATTAACTAGCTCGTGTTAACAAACATTACAAACAAGTAGTCATTCAAAAAACCAAATATCAATAATAGTTGTTCTCGTTTCTTCAATGCCACCATATAATAACTCAACGTGAACGTCCGGTTTACAATAGTTGTAGTTATTATTTATTTGATCAGATGATTAACATATTACTAACAGGACGTCTTTGTCGTTTTCATGGGAAACTATAAATACATTTTTTGGAAAATAAGTCATTTTTAACAATAGCACAATTATCATCACACTTTTCCTTGGACCTTGGGATTACAAAGCGGCCGAGCTGGGCAACTACCGATTGAACGTGAGCCAGGCTATCATGGAAGTTTGTGCCCAACTCGGTCTTGCCTAAAACCTTAAGACGGCCAACGCATCTCTAGTGGTGAAACGTTCGTAGAAACTGGCAACGACACCAACAAAAGGGTGCAAGTATGGGGATGGGGCGACACCGACATGACCGACGACGACAGACTTATAGCAGAAATCAGTCAGAAAAACGATGATTAGAGCTCGTTAAAATTCATTTTTTTCTAATTTCAATATTTTATCAATTTTGATTGGTATATGTGATTTTTTTTTAACCCACTTATCAAATGACTATTACTACTTTTATATTTTTTAGTAGGTGAACTGCACTTGTTAATAATATTTATAACGTATTCTTTTTTATTTTATAATATAATAGTATAGATTTTTTTTTATGTCATTATTTTATTAATTTCTATTAGTGTAATTATCTGTGGCCGTTTGGACAATAATTCACAATAGCCAATAATTGATTAGTGACATTGTCGAATAGTGCCTATTTATTAACAAATGTTACGTATATTTTTTGTTTAACGCTGACGAATGCACTTTAAAGTTTAAACTAATTAACATAACTACTAAAAAAATACTATTAAAAAACTATTAAAAAAAATGTAAAATAAATGCTAGCAGTTTTACAACTGATGCGTCAATAAAATATAAGTATTATATAATAATTCAAAGTGTGTTGCTACAGTCACAATCTGGGCGATCCCTTAATTTTTAAATGTAAAGCATCTCTCCAGAGCGGCCATGTCTAATGCGTAATTGATGTAACCCAATCCCGGCGCGTTAGGTGCTCTCCCGGTACTAGAAGTTCCAAGGTTTTTATAAGATTGTAATTGTCTAAGTTGGAATTGAGATTGAAAAATGGTTAAAGGATGCTGTTAACCAAATACTAGCCCCCTTCATGAATATTTTGTTTTATTAAATGTGGTATTTCAACGATGTGCTGGTGCGTGGTCAAGTTAGCACCGGGGTGATTCTTTTTGGTAAGTATATAAACACTATTTAATTTATTATCATAGGCACGATTTGTGTAAGGGCTCGGGCTCGGGTATGCTTAGCATCCCTAATGTTTATAATAGCAACCCGTAAAATGTGTTGTATTTCATATGATTAGGATCATGATGAGGAAACTTTATAATATGTTTTATGTGTTTCCCGGTTCTATGAGAAAACTAAAATGTTATCGCGTAAAAACCATTATGAATTTTAGAAGACAAAAATAAAAGACCCAAGGTCAACACCTTGTTTATTATGTTAATCGAATTACTCCGTTTTATTAGCTTTATGTTAATAGATTCAACAACAGGATTTTATTCTGCCCTGTTATCATTATGGAATTTTGTAGAAGATTACCTATATTATGTAATATCTTTTTGCGTATGTTAGCCTAAGAAAAGAGCGTGAGAAGGAGAATTCTAGTATTTTCACTAGATATTCTAGTTATTCTAATTATTTCAATATAATACCCTGTCACTTTCTTCCATATCACTATACAGACTATATATCTAGTAGTATCTTCTATAATCTACACAATAGGTTTTCTCGCGTTAGTTCCACTGCAGACGCCGTGGACGAGTGATTTGCTTTGTAATTTTCGCAACCGCATATGTAAGTATAACGATTAAAATATCAAACACTTAACAGATGTCTTTCAATCAAATCTATTTGATTGAACTATTTCGCAACTTTCCTATTATAGAATGGCCTATTTATACTTTTTTTAATACGTTCACAATGATATGGATACTAAGTGTTTCTTTAGATAATTTTTTTTTTTATAATACATTATTATAAAAGTATTATTGAGACTATTAGAATACTATATTTATCTAAGAGATTTACCAAATTTTGAATTTTTTTGTCAATTCAGTACTGAGAAACCTGAGACATATCATTGTAATGGCAAATTGGCGTTAAAGGTTTTCTTTCGTTATGCCATTAGGATGGCAATCGAGCAACAACGGACTGGGGTACCAAACAATAATAAACCAATTTTTTTTCAGTTCCTTTTTTTTTCTGATAAATCTTAAATTTTTACCAAATAAAACGTTTAACAAACAAAATAGAGATTAGAATAAGTACAAAAAGAACTTAATTTATGATATACGTGTATGATTCTTTGGGCATTAATCAAGTCGTTTAAGTTACATAGTGTTTTGATAAACCCTTAAATAATTAAAACAAACAAAATTAACAGTATAATTATTATAAACATATATTATGATATATGATATTCATACATATGCAATACATGACGCCCAATTGTCATTGTAATGACATACTATTGAAGGTACAATAAAATAATAATCACAATATTATATTAAAGTATGTTAACAACGAAAGAAAATGTGAAAAAAAAATTATCAGCAGACCTTATTGTTATTAAAAATCTTTTATTATCGTTTCATATTTTAGCCGTACTGCATTCTTATCATTTTTAACGTATTCTACATATATATATATATATATATATATATATATTAAATATACGTTTTTTTATTATTACCAAAGTCAAACTCAAAAAAAGATGTAATGATATAATTCAAAATTGTATTCCATTTATAGCATTTTATAAATTAAAACTGTTTTGCATACTTATAATTTTACTACAATATTGAAATAGCAAAATACTAAAAAAAAAAATTATTTTATTGTATAGGTACTATATTTTAATAACATTTATATTAATAATTTTTTTAAATAAATCAATTATTATTACAATCTAGGTATTTATTTCTATGATACCTATTCTGTTATTAAATCAATTACAGAAGTAGCTTGTGATTTACCTGAAGAATCAGGAAGCATAGGAACTAGTGGTGGGACTATTAGAATATTCGAATACTTTATTCGCACGAATATTCGTTATTCGAATAACGAATATTTTATTCGAATATTCGATCTGATTTTTCGAATATTCGAATATTTTATCATTTTCTTTGCAGGATTAATTAGATTAAAAAAAAAAAATTTAGAAACAACTAAGGTGTCCTTGATCTATTTTTAATAATTTTTTAACAAAATAAATATAATTATAACGAATTATTCTTTTGACAAAATAAATATTATTACTTATTACAACAAATAAGATTTTAACAATTTATGTAGATATATAATTACAAAAAAACATAAATTTGACAAAATATTCGAATTATTCGATTATTCAAATAATTCGAATAATAGAAAAATTAGATTCGAGGTCTCAGCTCTAATAGGAACTCCCATAAGTTAAACGATCCCATCACCGAAGACTAGCACAGCTAATCGCTCAACGGATCTTTTAGAAGTTAAACTGGGCCACATTTAACATCCCAATGGACTATTAACGGAATATTTGGATTGAAGGAAGATTGTATATATTTTAATATTTGTTCTCTATTAATTATTCTAGCCCGACGAATCGTATCTTTACTAACAGACACAGTAGCAATATCTAACCCTGCTGACGCTAAAGCTGTGGCTACTACGTAGGTTGCGTTTCTATTCGAAACATTAGTTCTATCAAAAGCGGAAGTTAACGTTTGACTTATAATTTTTTTATATGATTTAAGTTCAATATATATATAGGTATTGACGATAAAGTATCATCTAACAAAACAGGTTTCATTTTTGATGTATTTATTATTATTTTTTTATTTTGTTTTAAGAAAACCTTGGGTGTTCAAGTCGTATTTTTCTACGTTGTACAAAAATTGTGCCCCATAGTCTATAAAAAAAAAAAAAGTTTAACAGTTTTATGTGAACTTCGCGTTGAAAACGATTCCCTTGGAAAACGGAAAATCAGTTGGTTCAGTTGGAAAAATATTAATTAATATAATACTCAATTAATAATGATTAATTATTTATAATACCAAATTATTAATACAGTATGAAGCTTTTTTCAGATTATATCCTAAAATTGTGATGCAAAACATTTATTTTTTCTTTGCGCCACCCTAATATAAACGGGTATTTGGATGCCGTGATTAAACCCAACGATGACTAATTTCTTACGATATTTTACGCCATTGTTTTAATTTTGGTTGTGAAACTGTTCACTTTCAAGACCAAAACGCGAGGAGGAAATACGCGAAAATATGTTCTTATCTAATTACATATTCTCTAAATAGCATAGAAAAATATGCACTAATATACAAAAAAATAACAAAACACTCTTTATATAATGAATTGCGCATATAATGTTTTACACACATAGTTGACGGGCGCTCATAGTATATTAGTATAAAATATGCAAACGTTCCGTTAAGTGTAGACTTATAGACATCGTTGAATTTTGTATGTAATTGTTTTTCTGCTTAATTACGGAATAAATAATACTAATAACCAGTTGAACTGGTATAACAGATCATGATATTTGGAATAATAATAATTAATAATTTATTTAATTAGATACTATTGTGTTGTTTTCATGTTAATATATAATACATATTTAATTGTCAAGGAAAAGTTTAACAAAAAGTTGCTTATGTAAACACACGTGCAACCTTGTAGTAAAGTTGATATAAATGCTATTTTAGCTAAGGCCTTTTTGTATCTGGTCAGTTTACACGTTGCACTAGTATACACGTATTATTACTAGTGTGTATCACACTAATATTTTATGTAATAATATATTCTATTATTGTAATTACTGTTTTTGTTTATCATTAATGTGTTGTGTGTTAATCAGCTCATTTATTTGCAGGGCCGTATTTAGTGAGGGAGAGGGGACCACGTGTGAGCACATGCTATTATGTTAATTTGTTTTATAAAAAAGCTTTTAGTTCCTTTAAATATTAAACATTATTCATTTATTATTGTTAATCTAACAATAATAAACTGTTTAATATTGAAATACATATTACGAACATTATATGTGTAGAGAATATTAAAGAATCTCGATCACGGATGAAATAAGTGTAATATTGATAGTTTTTTTTTGGGGGGGGGGGCATAAGTTATATGCCCGGGGGCACTAACATTTAAATACGGCCGTGTTTATTTGTATTTTCTTATGATTCACACCAACGGTTGCGGCTATTACTGGTATTGCCGGTCGTACCGAAAATCTTTGACACACTGACCCTCAAGTCGGAGTTAATGAGTAATTGAATAGTAGTCGGTTATACTAGTTCAGAACGAGACAGCTCTTGAATCAGGTCTTTCTGTTTTTGTATTATTACTAATAGGGCAATATAAAATCAGTTGGCCATAGTGAATACACGCCAGCAGCATCAAAAAAAATAATGATAATAAATGTAAAAAGAAAAACTAGTTAAATCGAGATTAGTATTATCTATTTTAGGAAATAACAAGTTTGATTTTTTTTCCTCCAATTGCATAATTTATGTCTTCTCGGATGAAACTCAAAAAGTGTTTTTCACAAATGCATTGTGTTTCAGACGAATCTAACCTTTGTGTATCCCATATGACGGGTGAATAAATTTTCTATTCCTTAATTTTTTTAATTTCGTTTACTAACGTAGACAAACTTGTTGAGGTAAAACTGTTTTTAAAAATGTTTATCGTTATGATAACATTTTTAGTATGGAATCCTGAAGAATTAAAAGCTCTCAAAAATTTAATGAAAATCAATTTAAATACAATTTTTCTCCGTTACTTAGGTTTCAGTTTTTTTCAACTACATAGAGCTCGATGGCCACATCGACGACTTTTGCTCAGATAAGATCTGGCATCCAATTCGAGTGCGATGATACCAAACCAATTGCCTCGACCAGGACAGCCGTACACCACCACCCTCAACAGGCACCGCAACCGGCCAAAAAGCAAAGATACCGCTGGCAAATCGTCTGGCGCAACGTGATCGCGTTTGCGATCTTACATCCAATCGCCTTATACGGGTTATACCTGAGCTTGTCCGGATACATGTACCTGAAAACGTTCATGTTCAGTAAGTATAACCGTGTTATGCCTAAGGCAACCAGAACCAAAATGACGTCCAGAATCGTACAAAATTGAAATCGGATAATGAACAATAGATAATTAACTATCCATAGTAGACCACTCGTTATTAACGTTATTTGTAGCATTACAAATAAATGCGATAATGTGTTTGTTTATTATTTTTAAAAAACCGATTACTATGAAATTTAATTAAATAGATTTAAATTGATAATTGGATAATTCATATTATTATTTAATCATTAAATTCCCAATATCAAGGTAATATTATTGTAACGTTGGTGATATTCGTAAAAAAAAGAGAAGAAAAATTGGATAGCTTTTTACTCGTAAATAAAATAATAACTCATTAAAAAAAACATGCTTAAGACTTTCGGTATTGTTAACGTTATTTTTGCTGTGGATTTTTGTTTACAGTGATCCTGATGGCATTGTTCAGCGGACTGGGCATAACCGCGGGCGCTCACAGGCTTTGGACCCATCGGTGTTACAACGCCCGGCTGCCGATGCGCATACTGTTGGCGTTGTTCCAGACGTTGGCTTTCCAAAATCACATCTACGAATGGGTCCGGGACCATCGAGTACACCACAAGTTCACCGACACCGACGCCGATCCGCACAACTCCCTTCGCGGGTTCTTCTTCTCGCACATGGGCTGGCTGATGATCCGCAAACACCCGGACGTGCCCCGCAAAGGCAAGGAGGTCGACATGCGTGACTTGGAAGCCGATCCGGTGGTCATGTGGCAAAAAAAGTAAAAACCTACAAATGTCGCAAACGATTTTTTTTACGATTTTCGCAAACGATTGTTTTAATACCGATACCTACCAAAAAAAAAAAAATAAAGAAATTAGACTACAAAGTTTGCTAAAAAATAAAATTACAACGTACTTACACCTCTTGTCGACGTGATAGCCATTAGAGCCGTCGTGGGCCGAGTTTAGACTTAGACATCACTTATCCGAAACAAATACGCGTTTAAGTACGTGTCGACTTGTGTAATTTAGATGGCACACGTTGAATTATGTGTACATCGTTTTTATTACAGTCTAGGTCCCTGTAACTACTTCGGATTATTAAAAAAATCGCATCCTGATGTCCTGATTTGTAATGGAATTTTTTTCACGATTACAACGAATAAGGGAAAAAATATTTTTATAACACTTAACATCTTAGTTGCGGTTCGTTTGTGAACAACTTTTTACAATTTTTTTTCCTTTAAAAACTATAATGTAATAATTTAAATATCTAAAGTGTTTGAAACATTGTCTTTTTTCTAGGAACTATGTATGGCTCATTCTGTTCGTGCCGTTCTTAATACCATCTCTGATACCGTACTGGCTGTGGGGAGAACGGTTTTGGTATTCTTTCTTGTTGGTCGGCATAGCGCGTTACATGATATCTTTACATTGTACGTGGTTGGTTAACAGCGCCGCACACCTTTGGGGCACAAAACCGTATGACAAGTGAGTAATGTTGTTTACCTATACGCAAGGCGAACGATATTATTATTAATTGAATTCAAAGCTGATGGATTTTATGTAGGCAATATTTAAGTAACAAGAGGTTTTAATCAATTTCGACCATGTCAATTTCTTTACAAATTATTTTGCATTAGTTCCTAAGTATTTTTTTTAACTTATGCGAATTTTTTAATGAGTAAACGTTATTTTGGTAATATTTTTGACCTAAGAACTTGATAACATTACGCCTTCTTGTAAACAAATTACTTTTTGGAAAATTAAATATTCGATACGTTCGAAATCCTATTAAAGTGTCTTTTTCATATATTGACCCAAAAATTAACTTTATCGTTTCCAATTATTTTCGTGCAATTTAAACCATTGCAAAGCTATCTATTTTAGACGGTGTGTATCTTAATTTAGTTTTTAATGGAATTCTCTGTAAGAAGTTTATAATTTAAAATTATCTATTAATAATTTTAAAAGTAATTATCCAAAAATTGATATCTAACTGTCAAAATTGTCAGTAAATCGTTCTTAATATAAACAATTGATTAAATATGTACGTTACCATTTAAGTTGGTGGAGTTCTGTAAAAAAATTAATAATTGGATATTGTCTAATATTGTAAAATAGCATAATCTAAAGTGCCTCCAAGAGAAAAACTACAACGCTTCACTCTTATTTTTAAAGATCCTTAATGAATAAGTTTGATGAAAATGATAAAAAAATACCTCCTTATAGCTTCATATCGATATGATAACGATTTTAATTTTCTTTTTTTGCTTATTTAGCACCATAACTTCCACGGAGAATCCGACGGTGTCGTTTTTGGTTTTTGGCGAAGGATTTCACAATTATCATCACACTTTTCCTTGGGATTACAAAGCGGCTGAGTTGGGCAACTACTGGTTGAACGTGAGCACCGCTTTCATAGACGTTTGCGCCCGGCTAGGTCTTGCCTACAACCTTAAGACGGCCAACGCGTCTTTAGTACTAAAACGTTCGCAGAGAACTGGCGACGACACCAACAAAAGGGTGGAAGTATGGGGATGGGGTGATACCGACATGGCCGAAGACGACAGACTTATAGCAGAAATCAGTCAGAAAAACGATGATTAAAGCTCGTTAAATTTAATTTTTTTCTAATTTCAATATTTTATCAATTTTGATTGGTATATGTGATTTTTTTTAACCCACTTATCAAATGACTAATACTACTATTATACTCTTTAGTCGAAGAAATGCACTTAATAATAATAATTATAATGTACTCTTTTTAATTTTATAATATATCATAATAGATTTTTTTTTGTGTAGTGGTGAATGTATTTAGTAAATTTACAATATTGTTATCGAGAATGAGTTTTTGATTTTTATTATTTGATTATTTATTTTATTTTATTTAAACAATAAAATACACAATTTTATTTTTTTTTAATTGACTTTTTTAACGACAAAATGTAATTATTCTACCTTTGATCGTTAGGACAATAATTCACTACCACGAAGTATTTGTCAGTGCCTATTACTTATTTAAAAATGTTGAATATATTTATTTTTTATAAACGTTGACTATAAACGCAAAAATAAAAAAACACTAACTAAAAAAATGACTAACTACCACATAACTCAATGACTAAAAAAATACAATAAAAATCATATTAAAAAAATGCATAATAAATTCTAGCAGTTTTACAACTGACGCGCCAATATAGCCTTACATAATGTATACCTATTTATACAATATATATATTTATATAATTACCTATTTTTGTTTATATTTAAGCTGGAATACATTTTCAAACAAAATGTACAAAAACCTTTTCTTATGACTTGTTTGAAAAAACATGATAATAATTTTTATAATTGGAATTTTTGGATAGAAGTTATATAATAACCGTTAAAATATAAATTTAAAAAAATTACCTTAACCGTTTGGAGCCTTAAATAATTTCGTACTTATCGAATAATTTTTTTTTTAAATAATTTATTTGAATATAAATCATCGTAGGGATAACCATGTATTCGAATAATACAAATTATAGACAATGGGTCAACCACTGTTCTACACCGAGAGTTCTTAGGTTTTCGTCTACTCCACTAAAATCATATACCCACATAATATACATGCGGAGTGTTGATTGTTTTTTTTTAAATTTATTTAATTGATTATTAAACGTGCACCATCTTCGGATACTTAAATATATTATAATAATAACGATGATGATTGGATACAAAAAAATTCATTTACGCGAACTGATCGTTCAGTGAATTCAAGGAAAAACTGACCGAATTTAATAATCAACGGTTTTCTGTTCCTGTACTTTTAAAAACGACTGCGTTCATTGTCTGCTCGGATAATTGTAGTCCATCCGTGAGCTCGGCGGCCAGACAGTTTAGTTTTCACGGCCCGTGCCTGATGTCGGATTGTTTTTCTCATTGAACAGGTCAGTAAACCTTTTTTTATTTCTTATACATGGAAATAAAATGTTTGTGTTGCTATTAGTATTTAATTAAATAGTTCTTTTTCCAATTAAATGTATAGGGTTTTTTCTACGTCGGATAATATATTGATAATATGTGCTAAATTTTTAAAAATATTTAGTTATCCGTGCATTTTATATGACCAGGTCCAGGGTGCACCCATGTTGATGCTCCATTCTGGTTTTGTAGATTTTTATAAGATCTAATAAGATAATAGCTTTATGATACAACAGCATTTTGATGATTGTATTCTGTCCCGTTTTTCAATACAATATGTCCCCTTCTTGCGCATGTTGGTCTAAGAAACGGTCGTGAGAAGGAGAGTTGTCGACGCATAGGATTTTCAATAGGCATTCTCTAACAGTATAAAACCTCTTCCGTACCCCTTTACAGACTATATTTTAAGTAATTGTATCTTCTATGCACTCAGTTTTCTCGCGTTATTTCCACTGCCGGCGCCGCGGACGAGTGATTTATTCTGTAATTTCCGCGATCGCATATGTAAGTATAACGATTCAAATTTCAAACACTTGACAATATTGTAGTTATATATAGTGTTTATTGTTATTATAAAATATTATGCCGTGATGTAACCGGGGGACGCATATTACAATTATATACCTGTAAAATATTATTATACTACTAGCGTTTCTCAATTTTTCACGAAATTTACCATACCCGTTAGGAACACACTTGTCGATCACAACGTTAATAATATGTACATTATTGCCATTTTTTACCCGTTTCCCTAAAAAAAAAAAAAAAAAAAAAACAGTTTCATAAGCGCGCCGAAACGACGGCCGTCACGCCGCCCGTGTATACATTATGTTAATAGATCAGCTGTTATAACAAATACATAACATATTGTGCACACAATGTACGATATTTTATTCTTATTATTATCACGCGTAAATGTGCACAAGCATCGAACGTGGAAAAAAATTGCCTTATTTTTGTGTACATTATAATGTTTGAAAAAAAAAGCGATAATATTAGCACCGTCGGACGTGACCGCGTAGAAAGTAGTAGAACGATAAAACATTATTCGTTTTATTATATTGTAATTTGTTCACTGTGCTATCCTTACTTGCGGCCGTATGTGTTACGGCCTACGTCTACAGTAGGTACATTTTACCCATTCTTTTTTTTTTTTTTATTCTTTTCAAACGCACGAAAATTCGACCCTGACGGCCGCGGCTCTCGACGAGTAACCAATTGGCCAAACGACATTTCTCGCACACTCTACCGACCGGCCGACGACGACCAATAAGAAAATAATAATATTACAACCGTCGGCAATAGTCTACACCGCGCGAAACCGACTTTTATTTTTCAGTACATAAACATCTGTTTTATTTATACCATCATTTTGCCATTTCGAACGATTTTCCAATCGGTTTTCAGCAAGTACACGGGGCCTGTGGACCGGCGCGACCGGACTCGCGGTGGAATTCATTCAAGAGCGTACACACTCTGCTACTTGGCTCCAGGTAAGATGATAACAATAAAAATACACGTTAGACCGTTCACAACAGCTCCTGGGATTGTATAGGAAACTCGTATTTGGATCCCGATGGGATTTGTCCGGCGGATTTCTGTAGAGAACTCGTATTGTAATCCACAACTTTATGGTAACGCTATAACGCCGCCTCGATAGGAAAAACATTAATGTTACAAGTCAACTCTGTGCGCGTAGATAGGTGTTGAAAACCCAGTACCTGACAAGTAGAGTTTGCAAAAAAAAAACCAAAGCCCAAAAACAAAATGCCAATGGTTAGTATTCACTCAAAACTATCTTTTTTTATCCGATTTATGTGTATCTAAAAACATTTTAGTGGATAAGACTTTTCCAAAAAAAACTGTTTTTTTATTAATTTTGAAAATGAAGTTGTCAGTCAAAATTAAAGTATAGAAACTGTCCGAGAGTCATTATTGCTCTTCTAGTTCCTCTGGAGATACACGGGGTTTATCAGCGCAGCGGTGGAAAAAATATCATCTATCTGGGCTCCTATACTGTACAAGTTATACCTTAAACCCCAAAGCACATATTATTTAAAATTTCACGATTTCACTTTATCGTTAAAATGTTTTAGAAACTTTTCATAAACAAACATCTTATTTTTTAACATTTTAATTTAATTTTGTTTGGTATGAACATAAATAAATAATTATAAGTTTAGTAACCAACAGTACAAACTGAATAGTTCAAATAAGACTCCAAGAACACTCAGGACGTAAAATACTATTCAAATACCGCGTTCCCGTTGAAAAAACATTAGTCAAAAAATGAAGTTTTCAAAAATTAGAACATATATATTTTTTTGATTTTATATAAAAATGTCATTTAAGACATTTTTAAATTTTAAATGCGCTTTTAGGCTAATAATAATTATATCTATATAAATTACATTAGTTAACAATATAAAACTAAAATGTTAATATAAGTTAATTGAAAAAAATATTTTTAATTTATTTAAAACTGCTTTAAAAAGCAAATACGATTATACAAGTTAAATTTTATAAAAGGGGTTTAAAGACGTGCTGCTGTCTGGAATGCAAGTACAAAAAAAAATATATTGCTTTTTGTTTCAAGACCTCTTTGTCTATTTATTGGGTGCAATTTTTATTTATCATTTTCAAAGAGTAAGTCTTGTTAAACATTTTATCTGGTGAAAACAAATTTAGAGGAATCGATTTAAGAACTATTTGTTCCCATTTGGCCAATAATCAGAACTAATTGAATAACTGTTTTTCAAATGACTATAAGTAGTATACTATTCCGGATACAGAGCATTGTTGATATTTTAATAACAGCTGTGATGTGCCACAAATGCAAAAAGGAAACGTTTTTACTTTTTCTTATGTGCGGCGTCGAACAACAAAACATAGTCCATTGCCCTAGTTGGCCGATTTCACGGTTACATTTGATCAGAAATTTATAATTAACGACCACACATAAATATTATATCGATTATAATGTTGCGCCGACCGAACAATAACCAAACGCACTAGTGTACTACTTTTGTACTCGTGTTATTGTTATTATAATATAATTATTGTGACAATTGATCATTTTACAGTCGTGCCTTGTTTGGCTATAATAGCAAAGAAGGTTTTGTCATCCTACTGATTTGGACTACATTATTATTAAAGCGGTATGAACAAATATATATTCTTATTAACTGAAATACGCGAAAATAAAGATGTATTATTTATCGATTGGCGTAAGGCATAACCGGCACAATAAATAAACGTGTAGGTCAGGTAACCGCCAACGTGTTTTTTTTTCTTTTTAACTATTTTACTAAGTAGAGGACTATAGTGATTCACATCAATAATTGATAACGGCAACAAAAAAAATTAAGAAGCCAGAAATTGAAATTGACGTAGTATACATGACTCCCCCCCCACTAAAACGCCTGTGGCAGGCTAACCCCCAAAATCAAAATTCTACTTTTAAAGTCTTAACTTGGGCCACTACTTACAATGTACTTACTATTCCGAAATGAAATTGACCACGTCAAAATATAGTATCTGTCAGAACGCCTGTGACAGACAGGCACCGAGGTGATTCCGTTGGTGTACATGCGGAACACTAAAAAGATGTTTATACATAAAAAAAATCCGCGCTCTAGATTTATATGTACTTCGAATGTATTAGTGAATCGTTTTTTTTATAATGTGTGAGTTCTTTTTTGTAGATTTTCTTTCTACCAGGCTTAAAAAATAGTTCTCGGCGTTGTGGCCGGGTTGTATGAAAAATTGATAAATTTATCGGTTCATTAAAATGTAATGGACCAATTACGGGCTCGCTAAATAAAATTAAAAGGCTCGACGAATATTTAATGATTTCTTCGAGGCTTATGGGCACGTTCATGCACAACCCATCATCAGAATAATTATAACTTTTAGTTAAATTTTCTAGTAAGTTTGGCCGTCAAATTGAAAAATCGTTCAGTATTAACGGGCGCTCGTAGTACAGTACTATAAAATATGCAAACGTTCCATAAAGTGTACACGGTGATTATTATTATTAGCTTTAAAATAACATATTATCTGTCTGGTGTGCATAATATAGTATGTGTTATAATAACCGATAACGGATTATGTTGCGCTGTCATTATACTATTATATAGATGCAAATTCGCATTGAGGGGGTTCGGATAAATTTAAACTTCAACTAGAAACTAAATACGCTACACAAAATGCATGCAAAGTTCAGGGGCGGAATCCTATAAAATCGGACTAATTTGGTTATGGCGACTGGTTGCAAAACCTAGCCGTCGTAGAATTTTGTATGTCATTTTTTCGCCATCTTCATTACGCTATAATTTATAAGTAATACCAACAACCAGTTGAACTGGTATTAAAGATCATGAATTTCGTACCTATCCAAAACCGTAACTTTTAATAACTCGCGACTATTAAAAATACCGTTAGGTCACATTAAGTGAACACCATTTTACATGCGTTTGAGTAAAATTGGCATTTAAAAATCACAACAATTAGATAAACAACAACACAGAACATACTACTGTGCTGGCACAATAATCGTTTTTCGGCTCGTGCGCCAATTTAACGGTGACATAACGACGGCGAGACTTGTCAATAATTTATAATTATTCCATAAAATGCACAATAGAACAATTACTATTTTAAACAAACGCCATGGTCTGCAAACTCTGTTACCGAAAATCGTTTTAGAATGTATAAGTTTTTTTTTTTTTTAACAAATTCTGCAGTGTCACTTTTGTTATCGTGTAACACAGCTGTTGCCTACTATGAGTAACGGTGGTCTTACAAAAGGAACATGAAAGAAAATTAGAATAGCATTATAAGTATATTTTAGAAAGCACGTTAGCTTGATTTTTGGCGCTCTCGTAGTCTATTGTAGTACTTTTTTTTTTTAACTAATATAAAAATCCACTAACAGCTGACAAAAAAAAAAGTGTTTTACTCTATTTAATATTTAAACCTAACATAAACAAAATTCGGTTAACTTGTTAATCATTTTTTCTAGCTTTTTAACACTGATTCTATCCGACTCGTGAATTTTCACATCACACTTTTATTTTATTATTGTTGTTGCAGTTATTTAATGTAAAATTATTCAATACGTTAGTCTTGCAATGGTAATTAAAATGAAAAAATTCCTAGTTATTCTTAGCTTGGTTGATATTTAATTTTTGTTATAAACATGCCACGTTTGCGTCGACTACAAATATTTTGTACGATAAACCTCAATGTTATTATATTTACCTAGTCGATACTATAAAGTAATAAAAGTTTCTGGCAAACTTTGACTCGCGTGTTAGATAAAATAACAAGTTCTTCGATAGATATAACAAAAAATCATTTTAACCAGTACTTTGTGCGCAAACAATTTCACAAACATAAATATTTAAGTTTTACAACTTGTTATTATTATTGTTGAAATATAGTTACAAACATAAATTTTAAATGTTTTATTTAACTTTGGTGTGTACGGCAAAACCACACTTGACCAACGTTAAAACAGAGTCTTCGATTATTTTTCATCTTTTTCTTTAACAATACCTAATATCATCCAACGCTTATAAATCCTTAAGGAAAATCACATAAAAAATACCATATTAACATATTATATCCAATAGTGCTATCGAGTTAAAGGCAATTTTGGGTTACCTACTTTATTAATGTATTGTATTGTATCTCTCGGGTCTTTTGAGTTAAGTTTGGAAATTCCATTTCCTATGTTTATTGTAACAATGTACAATCAGTTTTCGTTTGCACAGGCATACGGTTAGTCATTTTCTGAAACAAAGTCTATTGTTAATGACTCGAAGTCTAAACGTCATTACAGGTTTGCAGAAACTCGAGAAAACATTTTCGAAACTAAAAGGTGTACACGCGATTTTCGCAATGTCCATTATCATTAAAATCCTCATTATTATTAATATCATTATCGTCATTATTATTATTATTATTATTATTTTTATTATTAACGATTAACATGCTTCATAGTACGGCTGTAATCGTAAAATCGTCGAAACCGACCGCACGTCCTTTGCAAGCCACTCGAGTGTTATTACTTATTAGTTGTTACGTCGAAAGTGAAATCAAAATACTCGTTTGACAGTTGAAAATTTCATCGAAAAATGTTCGAATCCCGTTTGGGTTTATAGCGCAACCGTCGAGCGAACTTAACCGGGTTAAAACTAATGACAGTGGCTAGTTTATTTATTGCGATTTCGTTTTTAAGTACCGCCCACCGACTTCGGTACTTAGTGATGGAAACAAGCTAATTAATTTTTGTATGACTTTTGCCTTACAGCAAAACAAAACAAAATATATAATGTATTTATGTATAAATATATTTTTTTTTTTTTTAAGAAAATTTACAATCTGTACACAATGAGTATGTTAGGCTATTTTGAAACTAGAACGTGACGACGTGTAGGAGGGGAGCGTCCATTGACACCACTTTATAGGATTGTATAATATTAAAAAGAACATTTTTTTCTCTTTTGTTTTTTTATAAATATACGTTTTTTTGTAAGTATACCTAATTATATTATAATACTATGTATTTTTTACTGATCTAACGGTCTCAATTTTGAACTCTCTAGAGCGAGTGCCGCCACAGTTGTACTAGACTTTTTTTTGGAAAATTCTATACCAAAATCTTGCTAAAACTCATTTTGATGCCCCATTAAATATTGTATTGGTAGCGTTAATTATTTATTATATTTTAATAAACGATTAGAAAGCCATTAGGCGATTCGGTAATTAGTCACTCGCTTTCTTTTTTTTTTTTCATTCTTTTTTCGTAGAAATAATAATGTTACAAAACCCGTTTTCCGTCAAACATCTTAAGTATACGACCATTAATGGTCACCAACCAGTGGAAAAAGGGACAGTCCATAAAGTAATAGTCAGTTAACTGTTGGGTAGCATTATTTTGGAAAATAACAAGTCCCATTATCTTCGAGTTTAACTCAAATTCTATCGACGTACGACGTTGCACAGGAAATTGTCAATTGACGAACCGATGATACAATTGGACAAGTATAATATATATGTAGCTACTTCCAATCATTAAAAAACGATGTGCCGTTTTCAGCATTTGTCTTTTTTTCCGGCCATTCACGTCGTGGCAAATTACAATAGAGATACTCCGTTATTAAAAAAAAAAGCGATTAACAATAATTTAAAGTAAATTATGATTAACGAACACTGTCCGACTTGACCTGTGTGCAGGTGCCCCTTGGAGCGGTATTGGGCTTTACGACCCCACAAAACCGAATCTACTTATAAAGGTTTGGGAAAAGTCCGGCTGACTAAGTGCATCAACCCTCTGCCTCTGGGTTGGACTCGTGGGGGCTGTGCGTTCCTAGGTTAGATGCTACTAAGCTCTGGCTAAGTCATCGACCGGATATACTTCTTGTCCGACTTGACCAGATGGAACCAATCAGAGTTGTTTTGTATGTGAAAGGAAAGGCGATGGCGTCGTGCCTGGTGTTTTAAACACATTTAACTGAAACTGAGCAAACCCCTCTGGAAAAATACTTTTGAAAACCTCAAGCCTGAATGCATGAAAATATGATGTTAAAGTACAAAAATATTATATTATTTTTAGTTAATGAAGTTCTTGCTAAAGACATTCATCAGGCCGAGGTCTCAAGTATATGAACGATTCTTAACATGTATTCTCGACGCGTGTTCCTTATATAAATCCTTAGATTAAAACGAAGCGATTAGTAAAAATAGTATGAAATGATTATAATATTATTGCTTTGACAGCATAATAAATCAACAGTTGTGGCTAGTACTGGTACTGTCGGTCGAACCGAAAATGTTTGACACTGACCCTTCAGTTGGAGTCGGTGAGTAATTGAGTTGGTAAACGGTTATACTAGTTCAGAACAAGACGGCTCTTAAATCAGGTTTTTCTGTTTTTGTATTATTACTAAAAGGGCAATATAAAATCAGTTTGCCACAGCGACAACACGCCTGCAGCGATGGGTAGACAACATTTTCAAAATAATGATAATAAATGTAAAAATAAAAAACTAGTTAAATCGTTGTGGAGTTAAGTGAAATATGATTTACAGTAGACATAATTTTCTTTAGATATTTCTACAACTTTTGTAACAGCAATCAATAATTGTATGTCGTTGTGAATTGTGAAATATTGTAAAATATGTTCAATCAAGATAAGTATTATCTATTTTCAGAAATAACAAGTTTGATTTTGTTCCTCCAATGTCACTGTTGCATAATTTATGTCTTCTCGGATGAAACTCAAAAAGTGTTTTTCACAAATGCATTGTGTTTCAGACGAATCTAACCTTTGTGTATCCCATGTATAGCGAATAAATAAATTTTCTATCGCGTTGCTCCTTAATTTTTTTAATTTCGTTTACTAACGTAGGCAAGCTTGTTGAGGTAAAACTGTTCTTAAAAATGTTTATCGTTATAATAACATTTTTAGTATGGAATCCTGAAGAATTTAATGTTTTCAACAATTTCATGAAAATCAATTTAAATACATTTTTTTTCCTGTTAATTGTTTCAGTTTTTATCAACTACATAGAACTCGATGGCCACATCGACGACTTTTGCTCAGATATGGTCTGGCGTGCAAGTCGAGTGCGATGATACCAAACGAATCGCCTCGGCCAGGACAGCCGTACACCACCGCCCTCAACAGGCACCGCAACCGGCCAAAAAGCTAAGATACCGCTGGCAAATCGTCTGGCGCAACGTGATCGCGTTTGCTATCTTACACACCGCCGCCGTCTACGGGTTATACCTGGGATTGTCGGGATACATGTACTTCAAAACGATCATATTCAGTAAGTAAAACCGTGTTATGCTTAAAACCACAATGTATAATAATGTAAATTCAAATATATTTTTTAACTTGCTCTCTTGTGGATTTTCTAATAAAAAATAACCAGTCAAGCACTGTTGAAGAACTTTTCCCAAAAAGTCACACTTTTACAGTTGCTTAGTACTAATATACTTATATAATATAATATAGTACTTATATAATAAAACTATTTATAATAAAAGATACTTGAAATTAAAATAACTATAAAAGTTTTTGGAAATAATTTAATTTTTATAAAAAGGTAATGCTAACTAAAATATGATAGTTTATATACAAATAAATGTTTACTTGATAATCGATTTATTTGAGTAGCACGTCATTCGATCGGAAATTCCTCAAAGCCCTACACCCAAAATTCCTAAGATAAAATGTATTATTATAACTTTTAATTTTTTGAAGTTAACGTTTAACTATTAAATTTAAAGCCTGGAAAAATCTTTTTGTCCTTTTTTTCAGCGCTAATTATTTTTGTGTACAAAGTTACTGTTACTCGTTTTTGTTTTCTTTAATTTAACGTTTTGACAAAATATTTTCAAAACGAAAATCCAAAAACTGGACGAACGACAAGTGTGCATACGTCATCGTGTAAAATACATTAACGTTATGAATCCGGTTATTGCGTGTGATCTACATACTGCAAACGGTACGGGTTATTACAAATACATAATAATATAACATTAACTATTTTAAAAGAAAAAAACCCTGTCGAACGATGACCGTGTCAATTAGCAATGGACGCGACCTTAGACCATAGTAAGAGTGTTCCAACTAACACCATTACGAGAGGCATCTGATATGCCTAAGTAGTGTGGCGACCGGCACATCCATAACGCAATCGCTAGACAATTTGTCGACAGTAAAAATTACAATGCTGACCTTGTGCGCTTTTACTTAACAAACGGTACGAATAGGTCAACGCACCTGTTGATTCATAATAATGTATTATTCGTATCCACGTTATTATGATTATTATTTTAGACTAATATTTTATTTAATGTTATTATTATTATTATTATATTGGCCGAATATTTACATGTCATATACTGGTTTTACTAACCGGATTTACAATGTGATTGGGCAACCATTTAAAAAGTAATTATTTTGCAAATAGAGCAATAGGTAAAATAGACATCCCTATAGTGGTAGGTTATTCGGAAATGTTTATTTTTTATTTTTTAGCGTACCAATCGACCTTGTGCGAGACATACACACAAAGCTATTAGACATCATTACAGTAATTATTACTGTTACTTTTCGTTCTCCGCCAGAAATAGATTAGTAATATTATACTATTAAGATCGTGACTACTTTCATTTTCATAGACCGGACTGAGCACTATACATGTATGCATTAACAAAAACTAGAATGAAAAAAATATTACTGTCACAATATTTTTTTTTATCATTGAAATATAATTCAGTTATTTATTGTATGCATAGAACAATTTGATTAACGAAAGCTGCGCCAATTAAAAAAAACAACATCATTTTCAAAATATGACTCCGCATAATACTATCCGACATAAGTCTGTAGTGGTAGGGTTTGCTTGTTAAAGTCGATTGAGTCCTTTAATTATAGTGGACAACAGTTGTTAGGTGAGTTACATTAGAGCTATAAAAGGGTACTGAGAATAAGTCTTAAACAGTGTAATTGGAGTTTAACAACGAGAAGGCGTTAGGGGAAAAAAATAAGAACTTGCTTTGTTTGTAGAGCAAATGATAGATAAATTAGATGAACTCAAGTATTTGTGACGAGTTGTTAACAAAAAAAAAAAAAATCATAAGCCTTGTTCCTTAGAAAGGGTTGAAATTGCTTAATTCTTTTACTTCTTAAGAGGTAGTTTTTAGATTTCCGTGTGAAAGTTGAACTAAGTACCTATACTAAAAATACATATAAATTAAATAACAAATAATTTTTTTTTATCGAAAAATAAAACCCAAAAATCTTAATCACATCGTTATAAACACATGTTATAAACACGCATGTTTTTTTAATAAGTTATTATTTTATTTATTAGTAAAAAAAGTTATCTTAACCGATTTGTCTTCTCATAGATTAGAATTTATAACTGAAAAACTATTAATTTTACAATGATGTACTATTTTTTTAAGTGATTAGGTATACCACTTTTAATTTACAGCATATTGCTACAGACTTGCTAACTCCCTCGAACCACTTTGCTGACGCAACTACTGCCTTGTATTTACACTTATATATACAATTACACTCTATTTATTTGTTCAAATCTGACTTTTCTATTAAAGTAAAGATATTTTGGCAATCCCAACAAGCCGAAATCATACACACACACTAGACCAATTATATCCGTTTCTTAACGGTAAATAATAACACGGCGGTAGGTATAATCGACTGTATGTACCTACTATGTTTCGTCTCGTCAAATTATATTTCAATTTATATTATATGATTGCAACACCAGCGTGATTTTTTTTAAAATTAATATTATAACTCAACGGTGATAAAATGATAAACTAATGGCCCAGGCACATATGGTTTGATTACTTACTAGAGTGTATATTAACACATCAGCAAGCAGCAGCCGATTTTGCAATAATCTTTAGGCTAATGGATTGGTTCGATTGGTTTTTTTTTCTACTCGACTCGTGACGTTAAAACATCTGTTTCGGTGCGTTAAAATCAATTAAATATTTTTTTTAAGGACTTTCATAATGTTATAAAAAAAAAAAAAAATTCATTTAAGTGGGGTCGAACATAGAGGGGACAGAACATAGTGCGATCGGAAAAGTCACATGTGTTTAGGAATTATAATAATTGAAAGTGATAAAATCACTTAAAAAAAAAACCACTTGATGCGAAACTCGTAGATAGTAAAAATTATTAAATATCAATTTAGAAATTCTAATCTATGAGAAGACAAATCGGTTAAGATAACTTTTTTTACTAATAAATAAAAGAATAACTTATTAAAAAAACATGCTTAAGATTTTCGGTATTGTTAACGTTATGTTTGCTGTGGATTTTTTTTTTCAGTGAACCTGATCGGATGGTGCAGCGGACTGGGCATTACCGTGGGCGCTCACAGGCTATGGGCCCATCGGTGTTACACCGCCCGGCTGCCGATGCGCATACTGTTGGCGTTGTTCCAGACGTTGGCTTTCCAAAATCACATCTACGAATGGGTCCGGGACCATCGAGTACACCACAAGTTCACCGACACCGACGCCGATCCGCACAACTCCCTTCGCGGGTTCTTCTTCTCGCACATGGGCTGGCTGATGGTGCGCAAACACCCGGACGTGCCCGGCAAAGGCAAGGAGGTCGACATGCGGGACTTGGAAGCCGATCCGGTGGTCATGTGGCAGAAAAAGTAAAAACCTACGAATGTTGCAAGACTTTTTTTTGGGGGTGGGGGGCCTACTCGAACTAATACACCGATACCTACCAAAAAATAAAAAAATGCTAAAAAAAAAAAATACGCCATACATTATACCTATTGTCGACGTCATACGGGTGAATCAGGCCTGAATAGTTGACGCTTTGGTTAATTTAGTTGTTGGGTTATTTGGAGAAAAAAAAAGGAATAATATATTTATTATTAATGTGATTTATAATTTATTCAAGTTAAAAATCCATTGAATAGTAAATTATCTTTTTATTTGAATGAGTTCAATTTGTTTTAATTTTTATTCGTTTATTAAATGAACATTTTCTTAACTCTATTTGTACACCGCACTGTCGTCACTTCATATTCCAAAATTCGACAATGTGGCCCTGATGGTCATAATATGACGATTTCCAATTAACTACACATTTTTAATATTCTATTGTTTTCGTCAAGGATTCGTCCTCATCGTCCGCAATTATTCACTACAATCAGAAAACTAAATTTAATAACGCTTTATTGTCTTGTCATAAAAGGATGTCATTTTTGTCAGTTGTACGTCAAGTGTAATATAATTACTATTTTAATTCACGTAAAGTAAAATATAAGTTTTTCAATATTATATAAACAAAGAAAATCAGACAGTAAACAAATTTACTGGCTCGTGTTTGATAACAACAAATAGCCATGCAAAATACTAGTGTCCAGTATCAACAATTATTCTTGTTCAAGGTTTATGCGATTTTTTTTTAATTCAAAATATTTAATAATCATTAGACATTTGAAATTTAATAGACAGCAGTATAAGTATTAATAATTATAATAACTCAACGTGAACGTCCGAATTGCAATTATTGTGCTTATTATTTATTTAATCACATTATTAACATTTTGTCAACAGGACATCTCTGTTATTTTCATGAGAATCTATAAATACATTTTTTTTTATCAATAAGTAATTTTTAATTCTAAACAATAAGTGTCTCGGGTTGTTGTTTACACGGTTTGGCCGGTGAGCAACAACCTAAAACACTGAATCTATTTTCACAAAATATTATGGCAAACAAATCGAAACTCCTAATCAAGACTTGGGTTACATAAAGAATTTTTTTAGCTGGCCCGACAGTTTTTTTTTGTTTTTTTTTTTATAAGCTTCGGGAACTTGGGCCATTAGCTGTTGGTTGACCTTTTAAACTTTTGTGTACGACATTTCGTTTATTAGTTATTACTTATTACAATATACCAGCCTATAGTATGTTGTAATGATAATGGTTTTGGCCTTACCTTTATTTATTCAACATGTCCATTTTACCGAGAGCAAACTAAAAGCAACCAAATCGTACAAAAATTAGAACCCATCAGTACCTAAAAATATTTGCTCAATAAGACATATATATATATGTTTTTTATAATACTTATTTACCTGTCTATTAGTAGTACGTATAATGTGTATCCACTAAATATTTGAGTAGATCCATAAGAATAATTTTCAATCATATTTATAGTACGGCATTCGAGGAGTAACACAAACATTTACTCTTCAACGATTCGTCTATAATTATTTATAACCTCAATCGAAAATGCCATCATAGCCGTCGTGGACCGAGTTTAATTAAAAATCACTAAGTCGAAATACAATCCTATGATTAGAACGACAAAAATATTAATATTTCTTTTTTCCAGGTACTATTTATGGCTCATTCCGTTCGTGACGTTCTTAATACCGTCTCTGATACCGTACTGGTGTTGGGGAGAACCGTTTTGGTATTCTTTCTTGTTGGTCGGCATAACTCGTTACATGATATCTTTACATTGTACGTGGTTGGTTAACAGCGCCGCACACATTTGGGGCACAAAACCGTACGACAAGTGAGTAATGTTGTTTGCCTATACGTTAGGCGAAGATATTATTATTAATGGAATTGAAAGCGGATGGATTTTATATAGGAAATATTTAAGTAACAAGAGGTTTTAATCAATTTCGACCATGTCAATTTCTTTACAAATTATTTTGCATAAGTTTCAAAGTATTTTTTTAACGAGTAAACGTTATTTTGGTAATATTTTAGACCTTAAGTAGGCGTTTCAATTCTATAAAATTATGTTATGTAGGAAACGGATTATCATTTAAAAAATTCAGTGTCTTGTAATTAAATAAATTATAGTTGAAAATTGTTTAAAATTAAAAACCAATTTTTTACATACAAAACGCAATAAAGCCTACATAACCTAGTAAAGCAGCCAAAGAGCTCATATATTTACAGTATTGAAATTGAACTGTCCTAAGTAGTCGAAATCTTGTCAGGCTTTTTAGTCGAAAACGTCAAAAATACAGACCGCTTTCAATCCACTTAACTGTGCATTAAACTGGAATACACAACATATTACTTTTCGGAAAATCAAATACGTTCGAAATTCTAGACAAAAAGCCTCCCTCCCTACATGAGGGTAGGGTAGAGAAGTCTACAGATCCTACAATGTTTCCAAACAATTAATTATTGACACTCAAAAACAATTTTCCTCAGAACACCATACTTTTCTAAATTCGGGAATGACAATATGGTGTCTTTTGTATATGTTGACCTAAAAATGAACTGCATCGTTGCCAATAGCCATTTTTACGTATCATTTAAATTATTGAAACGCTACTTAATTCACATGGTGTATTTTATACACCGATAGGTATATTGTAGTTCTTCATGTAATGCTTAGTAAGAAGTTTATATTTTGAAATTATCCACGTACTCTTTAATTAAATGTATTAATCGATGGTCATTCGAGGCTTCCAACTATTAAAACTTAAAGGGTAAGATACCCTATACTAGTCGATAACCAGTTTAGGATAATTACTTCTTAAGCTATTATAGTTAAAAATTTAGGACGGGAGAAATAGTGAAGTTTATTTTATCTGCGTTGAATGTACTATATAAATCCATTTGAGTTTTAAAAGTTCTGGAAACATATTAGGTTTTTATTTTTAGATAAAATGTGTGTCTTATCCTTAATGAATTACCCTGTATGATGAAAAAGCCTTAAACAATAGCTACTTCGCTTTGATGCGATGGTAAACTATTCACGGCGATCACTGTGTTATTATTAACTGTTTTTTTTTTTTGCCCACTTAGAACCATAACTCCCACGGAGAACCCGACGGTGGCGTTTTTGGCTTTTGGCGAGGGATGGCACAATTATCATCACACTTTTCCATGGGATTACAAAGCGGCCGAGTTGGGCAACTACTGGTTGAACGTGAGCACCGCTTTCATAGACGTTTGCGCCCGGCTAGGTCTTGCCTACAACCTTAAGACGGCCAACCCGTCATTAGTACTAAAACGTTCGCAGAGAACTGGCGACGACACCAACAAGCGGGTGGAAGTATGGGGATGGGGTGACACCGACATGACCGAAGACGACAAACTTATAGCAGAAATCAGTCGGAAAAACGACGATTAGAGCTCGTTAAAATTTTTTTTTTTTAATTTCATTATTTTATTAATTTTGATTAGTATATATTTTTTTTTACCCCACTAATTAAATGACTATTAATACTTTTATATTCTTTAGTCGATGAACTGAACTTAATAATAATAATTATAATGTATTTTTTTTAATTTTATAATATATAATAGACTTTTTTTTGTATTAGTGAATGTTTTTGATGAATTTACAATATTATTAGTGAGAATGTTTTTTTTTTTGTACATTCATATCATACTTTAACTAAATAATGATATACACAGATATATTGTGTGTTATAATTTATAATGGGGTTTTTAACGACAAAATGTAATTATTCGATCTTTGACCGTTTGAAAAATAATTCCCAATCGCCAATTATTGGTCGGCGACACTATCGAATAGCGCCTATTACTTATTTTAAAATGTTAATTATATTTATTTTTTATAAAAGATTCACTTATTCTACTTTTTTACGCTGACGAATGTATTATGAACGCAAGAATAAAAAATACTTTTAATAAATGCTAGCAGTTTTACAACTGATGCACATAATGTATACTTATTTATACTGTGTTTACTAATGTTTAAGCTAAAATAAATTATTAAACAAAATGTTGAAAAACTATTATCAGTGTTGTAATATTAGATCATAAAAAAAAACGAGACGAGACTAACAGTCGCACTACCATTGAACAGTGCCTCTTTTTCTCGAGTAAAACCCTCGTGTATTAAAATATTTCAGAGAAACGTATTCCAGTAAAAAAAATGTTGTTTTCTTAGGAAATGCGTTTCTAAAATTAAATAACTTTATTAATGTATAACGCCTTAAGCGAATATTTGAGCATCATCAAGTGATAATTTATAATATATATATAAATTATTATACATACATGTGTTTATATATAATTAAAAAAATTTTAAACTATCTATATATTATGATACATAGATATATTGATTTATAGATTATAAATAACATTTAATAATATAGTAACAATTTTTTTGTTTACATAATACTATTACACTAGTATTATACTAGTCCAAGTACATTACTATCTCACATTCCACGTAGATAGTTGTACTGATAATTAACATTAAACATAATAATGGTTTTAATTAACAGAGTAAAATATATCACACCCAGTTTTTGATCTTAAATCTGTGCATTCAGAACATTAACTAAGTACACTTAACATATCATTATATTAGTATATATATATTTTTTTTTTTTACTATAATACATAATTTATTAAACAGAAAGTCTAAATTAAAACATGTACGCCCTGCCTAGCGTGATCAATGTCTACCCTCAAGAGGGTTACCCGGAGTTTAAAAAAATCCGGAAGGGGGATTGTTTGTTAATATATGTACAAACGCTGAAAAAAACCTCGCTCAAAAGAAAACCGTAAAACAGTTACATTACGAAATTTCTCTTATTAATTTTACAATGTAGTGTCGTTTTCAGCGATTCAGGAAAGCGATTTTCTTTTGTGGATCAATGTGGTTGTTTGACCCGCTGAAAAAAATACAAATACAAATTAGTACATATCGATAATGAGAAACATTAGTTTACTAGTTTAATTTGATCGTACAATGTACCCGCTGTAAACGTTTGCTGCTTAAATGCATACGGCAATTTTAAAATATGATTATTTTCTAACCCGAGTAGCAAATAAAATATGTTTGAAAAATCTATGTAAAACACGTTACAATGTTTCAGTAGTAATTAAATATAGTGTAGTACACCTTCAAAGCTATAAGCCGAAATCGAACCCGCCCAAGGTTACCTAATACTTGTACGACTTGAATGAGAATCATCATTTGAATGCGAAATCGTCGAAATTATCCACAACATTCCTTACGTCCAAAAATACCTTTAACTATAAATAAAGGTCATCCGATAAAAATATTTTGTTTTACTTTTTAACTTGGATATAACAAAGCGCGCCGCACACGATTACACTGCAAATGTAGAAGTTGCACAAGGTTTTGACATACTCTTGCACAGTTCATTTTAGATTACAGTCTAACCTACCTAAATTGATAACAATCGTTGTAGTAAATCTGCGATATATGCATATTAATCGGGTGTTTGTATTTTATTTTTATAATAACAATAGCTATATTAATCGCAGTCCATCTACTAATTAGGTCGCTTGGAAGTTTGTCATCGTAGGTGTTTTACAAAAATTTAAATGTTATTCGCACACAAAGTATTATTAGATACATAATGTTATTATGCAAAACAAACGATTGTGTTACCTGTAGTGATCTCTTTTATATTGTATTATTACATTATTATACATGATAATTACACAGTTTGTACCGATGATTTTGAAAATCGATTAGGACAGAATTTACACACACAATGTATAACGATATTAATTTCCTATGTACAGTGCGAGTAATTTTATGTGCAGAGAGAGCAATTTCAAATGAGATACTGTGTTTTCTTTTCACAATGACTCTACGTTAATGATCGATTATGATCGAGTCTTATATAATTAACGTCGGTCGGATACTTTGTTTTTATACAAACAAATGAAAATTATTTGTGTACATAAATTGTCGTTTAAGTTTGAGCTATACATTTCTATTTGCAGTGTTTATACTCAAATACCATAAAGCAAACCCAGGGAAAAAATCCGGGTAATAAAAATATAACAGTATTATAAAAAATAAAAGATACCTTCTCAGGTTTGCATCAAAAATAAAATGATTGTCAGAAACATTATTTTTTTTCATCAGCTTTAACAGCATTGCCTCAATTGTATATTAAGCATTGGTTTTAGCTAATTGCAATCTGTTAGAAATGTTGTATTTTTCATTAAGGCTTTTAAACAAATACCTCAATGTATGATCTTTTTTGTAGATAATTAACGTAAGTTAAATTACCGTTGAATAAAAACGTTATGAAGAAGGCTAAATTCTCAGATAAAATCGAATAGAACTAGCCATTGCCATGTGCAATTGAAATTGAATAGGGCGTGTTACACGTGATCGGTATTTGTCGTTTCGCAAAATAACCGTTCCTGAACTTAATTTTTTTATAAAACCTACTTTGTATATTGGTCACTCTGAAATCGTGTAGGAAAAAGTATTAGTTCCTATACATATTAGCGTTTGTTGACACAACGGACGAGCTGGCAAGAAGTTTACACAACCATTTATCGTTTAAGCGCTGATGGTGTATGTACGTATGTACCTATTACCACAATAGAAATTCAGAATAAGTGACTGGTTTCATCGGGAATATTTGTACACCGATGCATTACCGGCAAATTGTAAAATAAACATTGTCAACCACAGCATTAAGTGTACATAATTTGTCATCCATTATATAGGTTTTTTTTAGCTATGAATAAATAAATACTTAAGAAGTCCTGACGGTGGCATACGATATCGACAATATATCAGTGCTAATATAACGTAAGAAATTCTATATTATATACCAGAGCAAAATTAGAAATGGCAACAATAGTTAGAAAAATGAAATGTAATAGTTTGTGAACACGCTACAAGTTTCAGATTCAACGTAGGTATTCTAGGAATATTTTGAAAATTAGGACTCGTGTTCCCTAAGTGTTTAAGGCCTCTCACTTGCTTAATCCGACCCTGCGTTTGGCATCCGTTATGTACCTGCATACAGAATACGAGCAATAAATCTAACTTTATATATATATATATTGTTGTATGATCAAACAAACTTTTTAGGACATCCGCACCCGGTTAGTATTATGATAGCGCAGAGTTGGTGAATTTTGGCGAATCTCTATCTACATTATGACGTATATAATAATAGTATACCCATCATACGCTTCCTAACCCTCATTACAGTACGGACCGAGTTAACCTTTGCTGGACTACAATTCGCGACCGGAAACAAACCGAAAACTTAACGGATACTAAGCTCACACAATATAGCGGTACCTACCCCGGAAACAAGTACACCGAATTAACGGTTCATTCAACATAAGCCATTGTTCTGGTTTAATGTATATTTTTTTTCCGTGACATCCTTAGGCCGCTTCCAATTAAAAAGTATACCACTTTTGACTTCACTACATCTTTAAAAACATCAAACGACTTTTCTGTATCAATCATTACAAGTATTCGCTTAGTCTTGGCGAAAACGGTTGCTAATATTTAAAAAAAAAAAACCATTTCAATAACACATTAAAAACCGAAAGTTACAACGATTTACCGAAAAAAATATGTCGGTCATCGTTGATTCGATCATGATCAATACTTGCCCTATTTGTTTACAATTACCCCGCTCGACCATAAAACCCTTTGACGTTTCATTCTTTAGAGTTTTCAGTCTTATGAAAAATGTATCTATACATTTTTAATCCGTTTACTTTTCCATTTACAAATCTACACCTCATCGGTGATACCCTAATGACACCGGTTGACACAAGTTGAAAAAAATAATTGGTTAATAACTAACAGGTACCCTGGAGCCAATAGGATTCGTGGTTTGGCGTATCTACAGAATAATTAAAAACTAGGTATGTACTTACGGGCAACGTTTTAGATGATTTTGAGTTGAGTTTTTTTTTCATAAAGTCTTATCACGCGTGGGCTCGTATTCGTGCCAACTACCGTCGCCGTGGTTCAATGCTACTTGTTGGACGAGTTGTGGGGACGGCGATTTCCGATCGTACGCCCAACCCAGCCAAGCGAAGAAGTCCAGCCACATGGTCGTCGTGTTCAACATGTAGCCACCCAATTCGGCGGCTCTGTAGTCCCAGGGGAACACGTGATGGTAGTTATGCCATCCCTCGCCCATGGCCACAATAGACACTGCCAAGTTCTGCACAGGTTGGATGCGCCTGCATTAGGAAAAAAAACACAAGGCGTTCAATCTAGGCAATTTTCTTACATGTAGACAACATCTCTTCAGTATACTGTTGGGAAAATCGCGGTTCGAGTAAAAATCGCCTTTCTTTTACCCAAGGACTTGGTCGACGCAAAGTTGAGAATGTATTGGGTCAGATTTATTATTTTTGTGGTTTTTAAGAAACAATTTTTAAGGCACGACGGGCTTAAAGAGTGCACTTACTTGTCGTACGGTTTGTTTCCCCATATGTGAGCCACGCTGTTGACGGACCACGTGAAGTTCAAATTCAGAACGTACCGTACCACTCCAATGCTGGCGATGGATTCCATCCAGTTTTCGTTCCATGCCAATACCGGCACTATGACGGGCAGCACAAAACACAGCAACAGCTTGAGCGGCAAAAAGTATCTGCAAAACGACCACACACAATCGATGACATCACAAACCAAACAAATAGGAAGCAACACAGCAAGTTGCTAAGTGCTGCCTTTTGTGTGGACCGGCCTTTAGGTTCAACCCGGATTCTAGCCAACCCTGTGTGTCCAACGTACTTTGTGTGAAATTGCACCAGAGGGTCGTTGGTGATGTCGGACATGTCGACAGTCTTGCCTCGGCGATATACCTCGGGATGTTTGCGTTGCATCAGCCAGCCGACGTGGGAGAAGAAGAACCCTCTGTTGGCGTTGTGCGGATCAGCGTCGGTCTCGCTGAACTTGTGATGGACCCGGTGATCTCGAACCCAGTCGGGTATTGAGTTCTATGAAAATAAGATATAAAAAAAAACCTTTGTGAGATTAAGTGTACACAACCCGATTTAAAAATCTAAAACGATTTCTCTACCAACGCTAAGCAGACAACTGATTATTAGCCGTTAATTGTCTACTATTCCCGGCCCCCGAGAAGGGGGATGATAACCAGTTTTGAGTAACAATTTTTCAAGGTTTTAACGTTCATGAGCAAGTGAGTATAATATATTAATACTTAAAACGGGTTTGTCTTTGAACTTTGACCTACAAATAAATGGTGCCAATCATTTCATGTGGTCACTATTCAATCCTATATAAGCTTTGACCATCGAGCAAACCAAATGCCGGTTTAATGGCGAACGTTTGCGGTAAAAACAAATACATTCCACCGAAGGCGGGCCCAGACTTGAGACTTAAAAGCGTTCAAGCAGTAGGTATTTTATAGCAAAAGTTATGTTTCGCCCTACACAAATGCATGCACTGCGACAAACAGTCCCTTAGTAAAACTTTGACGACAGATCAAAAGAAGACGACTTGTACAACATACCTGTCCGGATACCGTGTAACATGCCATCAGTATTATTTGCAGAGGTAATTTCGCCTTGAACGATCTGTGTGTAAAATATCTGTGTGCTCCGCCAGTCACCCCAAATCCTCCGATACCTCCGATTATAACACCTGCAAAAGAGGATAATGTTTGAATATTAAACTGAAATGTTATATTATTATTTTCTATGAGTTGTGAACCTAAATATGGTTTTAAAAAGAGCCGGATTGGACATTTATTGAACTAATTAGTAAATAAGAGCTAAGAACATATATAGATGTTTATGTTGTTAGGATTAAAATCCTACTACAAAAAAATGCAGTTTCATGGAGATTATGGTTTTGATTAAAAATGTAATTATGAGCATGATTAACATTTTATGTTTAGACTTACCCCAGACAATGGTGGGGAGTTTGGTAGAGGACAGGTAGGTGAAAAGTGCGGCCACGGCGAGCAAGTGAAAGAGGGTGATGAGGACCACGTTGCTCCATATGATTTCCTGTTGCTTGTCGGACGACAGCGGTGCCGGCTTCGAAGTTCGTTCGTTCTCCGAGTCGTTATCTTCTTGGGCTTCGTGTAGCTTTTCCGCATTTTTCATCAAATGCATGTCTTGGAGCATATCCACTTCGGTAACGGTGGCCGTTTCCGCACCCATTTGTACCATGATGGGGCACCGTATTTGAACAAAATAACTACAGGTACAGAACACAATATGTGAAATATTAAACATTATGAATTTTATGGCACCTGATAGAGGCTCTACAGTTACATATCGCGTACACAAACCCAACGAGACTCAATCCGACACTGTCGATGAGAATTCAATACTAATTACAATACCCTGAACATATATTTCGATGTCATAGAACACACTATTTTGGGAAATAAGTTGTACATAACAATAACCACCTACACGTTATGTACAAATATTCGAAGCCAAATACTCATAGTTTTGCTATTAGATGACTCGGTAGTTTATTAAACACAATATGAATGAATGCATTATGAATTATCATCGCCATTGTTGTAAAATTAAAAAAAAAATAATAATAATTTTTGCAAAATGCTTAGATATTTGATATTTTCCTTGGGCATCAGCCACTGCAGTCTGGAATGGATGTTGAGATTAACGAAACTAGCGGTCCTTTGCTACAGGGCATAATGCAGACAGAGTTCACTATCATCAACTGAAGACTTATTGAACCATCAGCCGGCATGGCACAACCATATCAACGACTCTTGTCGATATCGTGTAACAAAATATGCTAGGAAAATAATGTACGCATCGCCCGCAACGCAAACTATATAGTGTAACTTAATGGTGGACGTGTTCAAGTACTAACGCCAACTCGCTGTCTACGCAGATTGTAGTATATTATATTTGTATACCTATCTATGAATCATATTCACTGTGACCGGTTAGGTACACTGCTACGTTGGATACGGATCGGTATCGCTGGTGTATTATTCTTATTCTTATTATTGCCGAGACCGTGTACTATACAGCCGTTTTGGATTCATTGTGCATTTATCCTTTAACAACGCTGCACCGCGATTCATTGTAACGTTTTTTTTTTTTATTATTATTATTCCATTAGAACTGTGTTACTGGAACACGGCAACGACAATAGTGGAGCGAAAACGAAAATCGCAGATCCATTGCGAAACCCCTAGTCTGGCTGCTGTGTATTATAATAATGTTACTATAGCATTACGATGGTTATTATCGAATGTGTAACGGTTGAATAGTAAAATAATGTTATCACATAATAAGGTTACGGGCGCGCGACGAAAGTGAGTGGCGCCTTTAGCGCGTGGCTGTGCGCAAGGTAACTGCCGGTATGGACAATCGAGCAAGGAGTGAGTGAACGCGGCGTAGGTAATGCCGAAATATCCGCCGAAAAAAACCAAATCTAATTGGATTTAATTTCGCGTGGAAATAGAAAATAAATCGTCGGGGAATAACACAAGCGGACTGGCCAAAAAAAAAAGTAGAAATAAAATGGAGAAATCGCAGTTTCCGCGTACGATCGGTCTCGTATTTTGATCTATCCCGCGGTTTGATAAACAACAAAAATATAGTAAAAAATTCCATTCTATCGTTCGATACTATGTGTACTGAGTGACCGATTTAATACTGTCAGCCACCGCGGCGGAATCATCCACTCAATATTGTTTTCTCACATTTCATAGTTCAATACTAAATCGTAAATGTACTTTTTGATACGTGTCATTAGACTAATTTGGATAAACGATCAATATCATAACAGACATTTATTAATATTGGATACTAATTTGTGTCTATTTCACATGATACAGTTTCCAAATATCTACGAGTTTTTAACAAATACAATTTTATTTACCAAATAATTATTTGTTTTTTTTTTATATAAAAAGTTATTTGAGTAATGCCCGGGTCTGCTATATATTTTATTATAATTAAAAATTAAAAATAATTTACTAAAAATGTCGACTGATCGAGTTGAGTCGAACAAGTTTATTATACTAGATGACGCAATAAATAAATTAAAAACAGCTTTTAGTTACTCATTTTTTTTCCGATTGTCATCTATTAATAGTATAGTTTTTAAGTTTTCGAATTATATTATTGACAAATAAAAAAATTATCTATTATTCGTCAATAAAAACGCATAATGAATCATCGAATTATCTATTTATTTACATTCAACATAATTTTAACCTAACATAATTAATAATTTTGCCAACTCAGTCAATAATCGATCTCAAGTTATTTTTTAAAAACGATTAGCGTTTAATATTGTAGGTGGGAGAAGTGCAGTTAAGTAATGCGCGTAGATAAAATAATACTACACTACACCTTTGCTTCCATCTGACGTCTTCAACTTTTAACTTTGCATAATTACTTATTCAATACTGATGAATTTAAAAAAAATATTATATTATAAATAAGTTAATTACCATTTAAGTTTCAAATAGAGCTCTGAAATAACCAAAAGTAGTAAAAATTGTAAAACTGTGTAACAACTAATATTAGAAACAAAAATTGTTAAAAACAAAAAAATATATGAAATAGCAATTAAATAAAAAATGATTCGAATAACAGGGTATCAAAGTTAAATTTCAAAACTTGATGGGATTATAATTCAAGAGGCCGTTTGCGATCTAAAAAATGTCATATTATTGTTCACAACTTTTTATTGTAAATTAAAATTGTTTACAAACAATAAATATCCTTTATTTTTACTTTTAAAGTTATTACCGGATTTGTTTAATGCAATTTATTTTAAACTTTAAGACGGTAATTTCGATGAATTTTCTAAAAAAACATTTTCAAATATTGCAAACAAAAATGCCAACACTTAACCGCCATTGTAGTTATTGCATTATAAAATGCGCTTATTCTATAAAATCAAATTTCATTGTTAAAAAAATTAAACATAATAATAATAATGATCCACTACTAGACGTCACACATTTCTACAATGAGTTCGTTGTTTTTATATTGTTTACGCTAAGTCAGCAAAATGACACGAGGAATACATAATATGAAACAGAAACAAAATATCGGTCGTTTCTAACTGAAAATTGATATACCGAAACCGTTTGTTGCTAATGGGAGCAACTATAAAATACTATTATCGAATACTGATTCAATTGTACTACATGTATAAATAAAAATAATAATAAATTTAATGCGTACAACGTGCTTTATTTGTGCTATTCGGAATAATTTTAATTATTAAAACGTGTTGCTTTTTAAATCTTAGTTGTCGATAAAAACAGTTAATCTCAAACTAGGTTGAACTTAAAACCCTTATGGAAAAAAAATGTCAAAGAACATTAAAAAATTACAAAGAAATTTCAAGCAAGTTCTATACTTTAAAACAACTTAACGGGTTATTCGTAATGATCTACATAAATCTGTAAAGAATTTACTGATGGTTTGTTTGCAAAGTAAAAATCTAACGAAAATCATCAAAATATGTCGTTTTTTAGAGAAATAATAAAATATATTTTTAAATAACACCGGTTTAAAACATGTACAACAGAGTCGGGAAAAATAAATATTTTCAGGCTAAAAATAATGTCAAAATCCGAAAATGTTTAAGCTGGATTTTCAATAATCTAAACCTATTTTTACAAGTATTGAAACCGTTACCAAGCGAAAATGTACAATATGTATTAAAACTGCAGCTAATTAAAATTATTATAATTATGATATTATGATAGCTTAATTGAGTTTTAACTTGTAAAAAAAAACAAAAGATAGTTAAGTTATGTCTTTTGGAAAAATATTATTGCCGAAACGAAACGTTTATCAACGTTTCAAAATTAACTTTAAACAATTTTCATTGACTTTTTGTTTAGAATTTTAGAATCAATTAACATCTCAGAATGTCATACTATTAATCATTTTTGTCGAAATTAGTTGTAGTAGTATGGTGTAAATTTCGATTTCGTATCGTTTTCACTCGCCGATTTTTTTATCACAAAAAATCCTATTCGCAACCGTTTTATTAATTTGGGGTTTTTAAAAACCCAAATTCGTTGCCAACTCTTTGTACATCGTTACATAATATTTTTTAATAAATGAATAAAAATACAACTAATAAATAAATAATAATATTAATAATGGACTTACCTAGAAAATATGTTATACTGAAGCCGGACGGTTACAAGAACCGTTGTGCGCTGTAATGGGGATTACTGGGAGGTCTCACCTGACACGGACAGTATCTCGATGACTTGTGTAACGCGCCTATTAGACTTTTCCTTGGTTTTTCGATGTCCGGATAACGCGTGGCCCCACTACAAAACGGCCGTGTTCGACGAAGAAATGGTATCCAATCATCGGCGGCTATATAGGTAGAGCCTTAATTTTGTTTTCGGTAAATAATCAATATTATACATTTAGACGCCGTTCGTTTATTGTATGTACACATGCCCTATATATATTTATTTATTAAAAAAAATTCTATCGAGTTGTGTAAATGTTGTTGTTCCTATTAAAATATAAAAAAAATTACATAATATAATATACCAGCCACGCGAGGTATTTAAAAATATTATTATCAAACGCATACATTTTGGCGTGAACATATGCGTTTTTGAAGTTCAAAAATTTCAGACATTGTTTTTCATGAACTTGTTATGGAGTTTTAAAGTCGTCCAGTTATATATATATTTTTTAAAGGCATAAAACCCGAAAATTCGCACCAATTTTTAATTGTATTATTAAAATTGCATTCGGGGGACACAACGTTGGTTCTTAACGGGTCGTTAAGCTTAAAAAGAAAATTCATTGGTTACGCAAATTTTATACCGTTTAATTATTTTATTTCACATACCAAGTAAATCAGTTCTGCAAAAACGTTATTAGTATATAATATGAGTAGCATAAACATAACAAGAAATAAATTGAAAAGAATTTGTTTTTTTTCGTAATGTTTTACCAAAAAATAAATAAAATTTTGCCTGTTTAAAAAATGTTAATACTCAGCAGAGGATAAACCAACATAGCTAAAATCCCACTACAGTATAAACCGGTACAGTATAAAACCCAAAAGTGATTTATTTACTTCCACCAATTGAAGTAATTTCAATCCTATTGCGTGCGTGTGCTGGATTTGGAGGAAGTAACAAAATCAGTACCAAGAAATCGTATCGCCTAGCCTTAAACAGTGAATCAATCACTTTCCGACAAATTATAACCTCTTAAACTAACGACCGTTTCGATCCCGCACATTTTTATTTGATTACTGTAAAGTACTTTATTATACTTGCTCATACTTTTTACTATGATTTAGTTTAAAAAAATTATTTGTATTTTAGCATAATGTGGGCGAACCTTTTCGACGACATTTAGCCTTATTAAAATACGTTTATATGAAGATAACTGTACAGTGGTTAATAAGTTAACAAATAATTAGGTATTACTTAAATAAAATTGTAATTAAATATTAATTAAGAAACATATAAATTAATAAATAATTAATAACAATAAGATAAATTATGTTCAAGACACTAAGCGATATTATCCGATAAAAACAAACAATTAATTCGAATAATTCAGTTTCTAGGTCCGGATATAAAGAATGCAAGACTCCATTGTAAAAGGAAAATCGTATTAACTCAGATACGAAAGATGATTAGATTACCAAAAGAATTATACCGGTAGGTAGCTGACTATATTCAATATTATTAGCCGTATGTCAATGTCATTACTAATTAGTCAATAGGTAGGTCGTTCATTGGACGGTATCATCTTTAACGATTGAAACAGTAAATATAATTGATAAAATGTACAATTCTCTTTATTTTTCATACTGTTTTGTGACCCTAAAAAGTGAAAAATAATCCAGCTCTTTTCAAATTTGCCTATTCTTCACGCCTCCACACAACTCTATATCTATTTAGCTCCATATAAATACATAACTTTGGGTTGTCCAACCACACATCCGACTTTATAATTTAATATAATCACAGTGATTGAGTTGAGAAGAGAAGGAATAGCTCCTCAATTTCTTTTTAAAAAAAAAAACAGCAACAGTATCCGCTGCCTCCGTAAAATATTTTTATTTTATTTTTTAATTTTGCGGTTTAAATTTTTTAAAAGCCGTTTTTTCAATAAAAAATTTCTAGTAGTAGTACAAATTTTATGTAATGAAATGAGTAGTGTTATTCAAAATTGTTAAGTGGCCCGAAAGTTTCTAAATTAAACAAAAATTAAGTTTAATCATTTTAATATAGTTCAGGGCATCGACACTTATAGAAGAGGGAACTTGTCGACCCATTAAGCACCTTTTTCTGATTTTTTAAAAATAATATGTATGTTATTCTGTGAAAAAAATCGAAATAACATTAGGGACAACTCTAAATGTATAGTTTGACAATCTTATATTTTCCCTGTTGTTTAATGCGTTTGTTTCAGACGACTGTTTAGGCCTGATCTTTATTTAGTATATAATATTATAATATAGCTATCAAGTTCTTATAATTTATAAAATTGTAAAAACTTTCGAAAAAAAACATGTGGGCTCTGATCTGCAGCGAACACGACAAAGACAAAATAATTCCAAGAACTGTGACGTGTGACTGCGTCATCAGACGCAACTGAAGGTATTATTAAACTACACTATTCCCAACGTCTTACAACTATTATCGCTTTAGTTAACTTTAACGTTAAAATGCCTTTGTAAGTATAAAATTGTTGTCCAGACCCGGGTCAAGTTTATCAATGAAATATGACAATTGTCGATTAATTAAATTTAATGGCAAAACATATTTTGACAGAGCTTTATACATTTTCTTCGTGCTTAATAAAATGGAATTATGTAAACGATAAACGAAAATCAAAAACCATACGAAATGATCCAAAATGATTGTTAAGTATTATTATTTTTACCTACTGGCCAAGTGCCATAGCAATATTTCACTATAGGTTCATAATTATTTTGTAACAGTATGTACAGACAATGCAATTATTTTGTCCGGTATTAATCACTTCCGCCGTTAAATTACCATTGATTCGCGAAGATGTGTTAGAACAATAAAATGCCCATCTATGAGCAACACAAACGTCCGGGTCCGCAATGACGGATGAGTAAAACTCCAAATAACCGTCTTTTATGCGACACCAGCTATCTGTCGGAGAACAAATAATATAGTATATTTCCACACCATAAGTACTTTGCCTTCGGCATGTCCTCTGTCAATATTTGACGGGCCACGGGCAAACAAAAAACTTCCCAAGGCCGACCAATTACACAGCGATCGGCCGACCGAGGTGTAAGTACGCGGCCGCCGCATGTGTGAGTGCATCTGCGCTATTATACCTATTCAATAGGATTTATATACATACTACCGGGAATACAAAAAAACATTCGAAACAACGTAGGTATAGGTACGCTTAAGGCGCTACGGTAACGTTAACTGCGTGTGCCAACAAAAATCGAAAGTACAAAAAAAAATGTTCATCTAAACTGCAAATTTCAACCACAAATATTGCTCTACTTAACTTCCAAAGTAAAGTTACTAGTATGTACACTCGCCTAAATTTTTACTGATACTCAAAAACTAGTGGATACGGGTAAAATTATTAGGCTCTAATCTATGGCGAAGCGTTTATAAGAATAAATGTGACAACGGTACATACAACGACAACTGTAGAGCAGCAATTAGCATTTGGTTTTAATTGATTTCAACAACAAATTACACAAGACGTACAGGTTTTTCGATTGTCTTTCCGACTCGCGCCACGTTACTGGTTCTAAACAATGTACGAACAAAAATATGTTTTTGTTAATATTTATACTAATTGTTCATACCCAGACGTGCAAAAGAAAGGAAATGTTTTAATTTCCATTACAAAGAGCTGTCAAGCCCGCTCAAAAACAGAAAAATAAAGTCTAAACACTAACCTCACGTACATAATAGTATATTGGTCAATTAAAGTTGATATTATACAGTGTGACTATAATCCAGCCAATAACTCTTGTAATAACTTTTTTTTTTTGTAGAATTTCTTCCATTATTTTTATATCAAATCTCTAAATTTCACAATAATTTTTTATAAAAACGTCCCCTCTCTTGATTCATCAACTTTTTTAAGAGACACCCATACATGCTGGATAGCATTTGCTAAATTTCAAAACCAGCATCAGAGCAAACGAGAAATCAGAATGTCTTGGATGACAACAGGTAATAATTGATTAAATAGTAACTACCTATTATAATGTTTAGAGTAATAATTTAAAGAATTAGGGAAGGAAATTTGTAATGCTAATAATTGGAACGTTTAAGTTACTTTATATCAGAAAGTCTACAAACATTAATAAACAAAATAAACCGTGTATATAATATAATCAACCTTAATAGGGTGAAATTTGAGTAGGAATTACTAAAAAATCAGGATCACATTGTGCCAGAAAAATGAATCAAATGATGATTAACTAAATTTACAGGGTCATAGTGTAAATTGGCCACAATCGATAATACATAACCGCTTAAACACATTTGGCCCGTTATAAAAAAATCTAAAATAACTATAAAAAAAAACACGATTCGCACTATACCACAACTCTGGAGTTCAGCAAATTGTGTCAAAAGTACATGTACGCAAGTCATTTATTATGTTCATAGACGATGCCGTATTATTATGTACTGGTAGAACATATAATTGATGTTCGCACAATACCACTTGTTTTTTATCTACCTGTTTTTTAAATATCAATGTCACATTAGTTCCTTTAAGGCATTCAGTGATGAGTACACAAGTAAAACAATTTTATTTTAAATTTTCACTAGGAGATTAAGAGAAAAAAATTAAAAACAAGTTATATCCGAAGAAAGAAAATTTCAATTTTTTTTAAGGAAGGACTTTTCCCGCTACTTTTAAGCTTTTACTGAAATTATTCTTCAAACACGCAAAAAAATATGATTTGACTAAATTGCATTTTAGTTATAAAAAACAAATATTACCTGCCTCTCGCCAGATAGGATGCAACAGAACTTAATTAATATTTTCTAATAAAAATGATGAACGAAAAAAAATTATTTTTCTGTATCGTAAATTAAGTTTTATATATTTTATACAAAAAAAAAAAACCAATAGTCATTCTATTGAAATTCTATAAGAAAACTTTCATTATTGTTTATTACTATTGTTATTGTAGTTATTTTTATTTCATATTGTTTACATGAACAGTATCGAATATTAATTGTCACGTGTACTGGGTCATATGATGACCTCGGTTA